TCTATTCCCAAACCTGTCCTGGTCTGATACCTAATGCTGCCAAACCTCCAGTGCTGAAAACAACTGATTTCACCACAGATTTAATGAAAACATTAAATATTTAAGCTAGAAAATTCTTCGACAAATTTTTGTCTCTAGGAAGATTTTTTTTTTTTTTTTAAACCATATCTGTTACTTTGCATTAGGCAAAGGAGCCAGACTGTCCAAATTAGGAACCAGAAGGCGTGTATAACGATCCAGGGAATGTGTGCCTCCATTGACAGCATTAGAAAAGGTTTTAGGCTGTCATACACAGCATGATTTGAAATGGTCATAGTGCTGGCAGAGAGTGGGCGATGAAGTGGTTAACCCATGAACAAGGGCGATTGGACGATGAGACCCCATGTACAGGCTCCATACATGAAGAATGTGTTGTTGGAAACAGCATGCCATTTCCTAATCCTATATAGCAATGAACTGTCTATTCCAGCAATCAAGAACCTAAAGGAAAGGAGGAGACGGATGCATGTTATTTGGGTTACAGTGACCTATATCTGCAGCTTCTGTACACCCTCCCCAGAAAGATCAACAGCCCCCTTACCTGGGAGCATATAGGGGTGGCCAAGTAAAGCAAACAAAATAGACCTTTCAGTAACTTTACAATCTACATTATTAATAAGATTCTGATATTTCACATTATACAATAGTATGATTTTTTGAAAATAGACTTCTATTGGGTCGAGAGACAGATATGAGTCAATCTGCTACCCCCAAAGAAGTCTATGGGACTCTACTGCACATACATGGACACTGAGTGCAGAATGTTCGCACATAGGATGTACACATTGCAAAAGACCTTGGTGGGGAGAATGTAGTATGGAGCTTTGGGGGTAAAGGGGTGGGTAGAAGCTGGGATAGAGGGTTAGGCTATTTCAGCACAGGGATATGGGAGCAGTAGGGTAAGGAAATTGGGTTTGAAAGTTTCCTTACTCTGTAATCTCCAGTAAAGCGACTTTGCCTAGATTGACATGTCAGCAGCCTACAGGTTGTGAGATGCATTTCCTCAGTCTACTCTCCACCCCTGATCAGACTGCGACAATGTAGGAAGCGACAAGGGGAGAGTTTTCAGACGATCATGTGCTAAGATGAAGATGTCTGAACAAAGGAGCCTCCATCTTTCCGGAGAGAAAAGCAGATAAAGGCATTGTCAAGGGGAGCGCTGTGATCTCTGTAAGAGATAATAAATACCTCGAAATGTTGCACTTACAATTTTTTTTTGCGCTTACAATTTATTTTACATGCATGCACTTAACATGAAAAAAATATATCGGATGCTGGGTCCTCTAAAAACTGTTAACACTGTTTCTTGCAACCCCTCCAACCCTTTCGCCCTAGGCACAAGCCACTTGCTTTATGGTAAACGAGAAGGTTGACCGCAGAAAAAGACCATGTGAACCATCAAATTTACCCTCCCCGCCTTTCTTTATATGTATTCTCTGCAGTTAGACCTGTTTATCCTAAGCACGTTTACATTCATTTTCTGGTGTTTTCAGTAAATCGTTCAGCAATGACCAAAAAAGGCATCAAAGCTTGCTGCTCCGTATGAAGAATACCACTTTTTTTTTTTATTGCCAGTAAGCCATATTGCCATAGGAAAATCATTAGTGCCAGAGCACACTGGCTCCATTCATAGCAATCTGGCACAGGCTCATCCATTTTGTCCTAATTCCCTGATAATACTGCTGACTGGGGAATTATGCGGACAGTCACAGAAGGCTATCTGGCACAGTTTTTGTGTTGGGATAGACGTTTGCATAAGAGGCTGTCTGAACCTACCATACACAGCCTACCCTACTTCACAAAGAACCACCCTGGGCCAAGAATTAAAAATCAGTGGGCTGGACTTACAGGGGGGGGGGGGGGCACTCCAGCTTTTTGAAAAGCAGAGTTCCTACAGTAATATTAATGTAGAGAGCAGTAAAACTGGGCCAGTGGGGGCAATTGCTCAGGTCCAGTTTCACCCTTAGCTAAATATGACCCATTACCCACGTAAACAATGTTCCCCAACTCAAAGTTAAAGTGACCTTGAAACAAGAGGAAAAAAACCCAAGATATACCTGTGTTCAAATCCCAATAGCTAGTACATGCATTTATCCATCAGATGCTAAAGGGGTGTAACCACATATTAACACTAGAAATTCACACTAAGCGTGCAGAGGGCCCTTCAGAATTTCTTGAAACAAGAGGGTCCCTTAAAAACGAATCCCAGCATGTAAAACAGTAGCATTTCTACTTAAATGTGTAAAGATGTTACTCCTGCGCTATTAAATATATAAAATATATAGTAAGCTGCCAGCACTAAGGTGACACAACCCTGGCACCAAACACAGTCAGAAAGTAGAATTATAAAAACAGTGCAGCGCTATAAATTCCCTATCCACATAACTTAATACAAAAAGATAAAAACAACATGTGGTGCTGTGATTCCTCCCAGTATATAAATCCATCCTATTATGTGAAAAACACACAGAACAATCTTCATGCAGGTGCTCCCAATTGTAATGTGAATCCACAGTGACAGGGGTGCCCCCTCACCTTCCTGCCCAGGCCCCGCAGGACCACTGAGCCAGACAATTGCCTCTCTGTTATCCTCCCACAACACCTTGGGGGCCTCGTCAGCAGTAGTGGTATATCCTGATGAAGTCACGTACCATCAATCGTGACGTAACGCGTAGATACGCCAGTGGGAGGAGCCCAACGGACCGCGCGGTGACGTTATATCCAGCGTCGGCGCCATCTTGGTCCACCTTCTTGTGAGGATCCACACAAGCCAGTACACCCATGGTGTGGTGAAAATGTGTATGTTTAACCACACAAATGTGAGTAGTACCAGTAGTGTGGCTTTTTAAATAAAAGGTCTATGCGGTTTTACACTATGTGGATCTTTCTGGTCTTATGTGGGATGCATATGGAAATGAGTGCGCACTAATATCTGGAGGTACCTAGTGGAAATATTACCCATCAGAGGAGGAAGTACCACCACTACTGCTGAGGAGGCCGCCAAGGTGTTGTGGGAGGATAACAGAGAGGCAATTGTCTGGCTCAGTGGTCCTGCGGGGCCTGGGCAGGAAGGTGAGGGGGCACCCCTGTCACTGTGGATTCACATTACAATTGGGAGCACCTGCATGAAGATTGTTCTGTGTGTTTTTCACATAATAGGACAGATTTATATACTGGGAGGAATCACAGCACCACATGTTGTTTTTATCTTTTTGTATTAAGTTATGTGGATAGGGAATTTATAGCGCTGCACTGTTTTTATAATTCTACTTTCAGCATTTCTACTTAGCTTTCTGGTGACCCCTGTCTTTAAACTTTAGCACTTTTCTCCTTTCCAGCTGCTCCAGCAATTTAACATATCTGTGTGTATAAATACCTGTTCCCCTTACAGCATGCTGTATTTTCTGTAGTATGCCAATACAGGGCCTATCCGAAGTGCTGAATAACTAGTAGCCGAGGAGCAGCAAAGGCCTTATGTTTAAGCTGAAATTGTATCAATGTTCTTCTTTTAAAAACTTTATTTTAGTTTATAAGTGACATTGTGGTGACAGGATCACTTTAACATCCTAAAACTGGATAATTCCTTGTGACAGAACTCAATGGCTGCTCTGTCACATAAAATGAGTCGCATGGCTCCTCCATACCCAGGACTGTTTTTCCTTTAACTCCCCAGCAATGAACAGAGCAGTAGTTCTTCCTAGGTTAGCTCCCTTCTAACTGGTTGTAAGGTTGCTAATGTATTGTCCAATCAGGTGGCTGGTGGAAGTCAGGTGATGCTAGGAAGATGCAGGAGAGGGACAGGAGCAGTGCAGGAGTGGGTGGCCATTTATAAACGTTCTCCCGTATTCCCTGCCTGTGCGTGCTCCCTGGGAGCGCGCAGCACCGCCGGAACACAGATTGCTGTACGGGACCTCTCTTGTGAGGTCCCGATTCATGTGGTCACTGATTGGCCAATCAGTGATCACATGAAAAGTAGTAAACAACATGTCACTTCCTGACATCATTGCTTACATGTGAAATCGGTGCATGATCAGAGGTCACATGGTACAAAGCTATTCACAACAGCCTTGTACCATTTGACAAACTGTGACCAATCACAGCTCTCACAGTACTTCTTAATGGCTGCAAGAATGCAGCCAGAGAGAAGGAGAAATGATTGCTTTTATAGTCTTTATTGGTGTAAAAGCAATCAGTGTAAAAAAAAATAAATAAATAAATAATATATCTTCATCACCCCCCCCCCCCCCCACAAGTAGTACAGTGTCACTATGGTGACACTGTTCTGCTAGGGTGACATGTAAAAAAAAACAAAAAAAAAAAAAAAACACAAATATGAAAAAATAAAATTGTAAAAAAAGGTTTTGAAAAATTATAATTTTTGGTTATAAACTAATTTGGGTTATTTTTGTTTTTCTAAAAAGATATATGAATACATTTTGGCTAAGATTTATGAAGAAAGATTATTTATTTGCAAAATGTATAAGAAAAACACTTTTTTTTTCAAAATGTTTGGAGTTTTTTCATTTATATAGAAAAAAAATAAAAATCCCAGTGGTGAATAAATACCACCAAAATAATGTTTTATTGGTCTAAAAAAAAATGCTACAAATTCATATGGGTACAGTGTTGCATGACCGCACAATTGTCATTCAAAGTGTAATAGCACTGAAAGATGAAAATTGGCCTGGACTGGAAAGGGGTGAAAGTGTCCGGACTTGAAGTGGTTAAAGTGAAACTCCAGGCAAACAGCTATAAAAATTAGGTAAGACGACTACCCTGCTGGACTTGCTATAGTGCTGTATTGTTCACTATGCAATATTTTTGAACCATTGAAAATATTTCAAATTTAATTAATAAAACCCTGTCAGTAACCTGTTCATTGATTCTTGTATTTTACAGGCCTGGCTGGCTTTTTCGTGGTATTAGCTTATGGTCTTTACCGTCTAAAGGAAAGGGGCAATATGAAGATGTCTGTTCACCTGATTCATACACGGGTCGCTGCACAGGCATGTGTGGTAGGAGCTACTGCTCTGGGTAAGCTTGTCCAGAAAGAAAAATATGATCTCTAAGGAATCTGTATTATTTTTGATAGCAAAAGATACCGATGGAGTTCAAGGGGCTCAATAAAGACCCATGATCAATTGCTATTCACGTTTCTCCTAGATTGTAAGCTCGAAAGAGCAGGGCCCTCGATCCCCTCACGTTTTGCATTGTATTGTTGTTGTTCTGTCACATGTTCTGTCCCCCTTTGTAATGTACAGCGCTGAGCGAACTGTTGGCGCTTTATAAATACTGTATAATAATAATATGGCCAAATTATTTGTGGACACCTGACCATCACACACCTACAGTATATGAGGGACATTCCACTCCGAAACCACGGCCATTAAGATAGAGCTGACCCCCTTATGTAACTACTATTATTATTATACAGGATTTATATAGCGCCAACAGTTTGCTCAGTGCTTTACAAAATAAAGGGAGACAATACAGCAACAATACAGTTCAATACAAGAGGGATAGGAGGGCCTGATCCTTGGAGCTTACAATCTAAGAGGGAGGGGCTAGTGATACAAAAGGTAATAACTGTGGGGGATGGACTGGTAGGAGGAATAGAAGATTCCGTTATTAGCTGAAGGCAGGATAGGCTTCCCTGAAGAGGGAGGTTTTCAGAGCTCGCCTAAAAGTGAGCAGAGTAGGCGATAGTCTGATAAATTGGGGTAGAGAGTTCCAGAGGATGGGGGAAGCTCTGGAGACGAGCATGGAAGGAGGAGACAAGGGAGCTAGAGAGCAGAAGGTCATGCAAGGAGCGGAGAGGACGGTTTGCGTGATATTTGGAGACCAAATTGGTGATGTAATTTGGGGCAGAGTTATAAATGGCTCTATATGTTATTGTCAATGTTAATGACTATAACAGCCTTCACTCTTTTTTTTTCAAAAGCTTGAAATGTGTCCATTTATGAGGTCAGGTAGTGATGTTGGAGAAACTTCGCTCACAATCTGCATTTTAATTCATGCCATGGACTTGGCTTTCTAAACCTAAACTGAACAACCTGGAGAGGTTTCTACATACGTTTGTCATATGGTATAATTCTCAATTTAATAAAAGTCGACTTTTCTATCAGCTTATGATTATATCCAAGGTGCCAAAAAACAACAAAGGCCTCTATGGTCTGAGAGCAGCCTATTTAATTAGATCCATCGATATTATTGTACAGTTGGATTTATCCTTGCGATCCAGCGCTACCTCCTGCCAACCCACATGCACAGGCATATACTGGGTTCTTATATAATCCATTCATGATATAGCTATACTAGTTAGTCCCACTCAACCGGACTTGTTCTATAATGTTGAAGACATTCCACCACTCTGAGAAGATTCCTCAGATCTAATGCTCTATTAGGCAAACGTTTTCAACATTACAGAACAAGTCCAGTTGAATGTTACTAACTACTACTATCTATATCTGTAATATGTTAGGATAAAGTCAAAACCTATCTCCATACTGGGTTAGCTGGATTTTTTTAGTTGTCTTAATGTCTACTTATCACTAAGCAGTGAACGTCCTGCATTCCCGCCAGTATAGTGCTAGCTTACCTTTGTTTGCAAAGATGAAATGTAAGATGAAAAGGTCTGCTCTATTAGTTCCCCTATAGTACATATGTGCAGTGACCTGCAACAAACCTGCATTATAGTTTACCCCACCGCACAGATGCGTACTGCTCTATGCACTTGCCCTGCATTGAAAAAAATATGGTGCGGGATCCATTTTTTTATGCATCAATATGTGTTTTTGCATCCCATTCATTTTTAATCGGTTGCCTAATATAAACAAGCCTCAATACACAGAAACGTACCCTGCACCGCAATGCGTTATGGTGCGAATGGGCTCCAAGGGTAAGAATAATAATAATAAAAGGCCTAACAAAGTGCTATTCAAGCTGGAAAAATGGTTACGGTGCGAATGGGCTCTAAGGGTAATAATAATACTACTAAAAATAATAATAATAATAATAATAAAAGGCCTAACAAAGTGCAATTCAAGCTGGAAAAAAGGTTACGGTGCGAATAGGCTCTAAGGGTAATAATAATACTACAATTAATAATAATAATAAAATAATAATAATAATAAAAGGCCTAACAAAGTGCTATTCAAGCTGTAAGAAAACGACTCTGTAAATGTAAGTCGTTTCTGTGCACAGTTGGTCACAGGGAAAAGCAGGAGATAGAGGCTAACGGATATAGGAAAGGTTTGCTTTAAGTGAAGGTTGGGGTTACATGGAAGGCTAGTGTGAAGGGAGCTGTGTTAGAGGTCTTGACCTCTCCAAACAAAAAAAAAAAAAAAAAACTAAAAACACATTTTATTTTTTGATGTGTTGGGAGTGATGACACATCAATTCCACATCTCGAAGTCTAGAAAGTGTTGAAATTCAGAACACTGGGCTCATGTACACGAGCAACTGCTAAACTCGAGTTTAGGAGCTTTTGGCATTTTTTTTGCCAAAGGTCTTAAACTCAACTCCATAAAAGCCTGTGTTCATGTACACACAGGCTTTTAGCAGAGTTTAGGAGCTGCTGAGGTTCGTGAGGTTAAACCTCCCTCTCCTGAATGCAGAAGAATCGCATTCAGGATAGGAATGTGTGACTGCTGGCCGTGGGAAACACAAAACGTGGCAAAATCGCGGTACCGCACTTGCCACGGCCAGGGTAGATTTGTGTACATGGAGCCTAATATGGCAAAGTACTATCTTGTTTTGGAAGGATACTATGCGGTTTGCTGACTGTAGGAAATTATCCTCGTGTATGTGACAATACACCAGCCCTTGGGCTAAAGCAGTTCTAAGATGGTTTCCTAGAAAAGCATAACGTGTGAGCTTGTATTCCAGGGAATGTCAGGGATTTATAGTGCTGGGAGAAAGGACATGGGTCCCGGGAAGGAAGGACTAAGAGACAAGGAAGGAAACACAGCATAAATGCTACGAGCAAGCTTTAAAGTAGTGCTGAGGTTTGGAGCCAGTCCCAACATTGCCATAGGAGGACCCCTGCATTGCCATGGACAGTTAGCTTTCTTATTGACTAGATCACCACAGAAAAAATACTGTAAGGTCTATGCTGATGCCTGGGAATGGCAATGAACTGGTTCCACAAACAGGTGGGAAAATGACTGGGTTCCTTGTATATTTTACCATTTCCATGGATTCAAGGAAGAATTGTAAACACCTTTTTAGAAAGTTTTAGAGATGTATAGCGGGCTGCAGTGTGAAACAGAAATGAGTGTGTGTGTTTATAAAAAAAAAAAAAAAAAAAATTAAATATATATATATATATATATATATATATATATATATATATATTATTTTTTTTTTTTTTTTAATTTTTAATGACATTTTTATAATGAAATTAGAGTTTTGCTTTGACAGATGCAAACTACATAGGCAGGTTTTATTTAACTTTATATTTGTATTCTTTAAGTACCAGTCTACGTGTGATTAGAAAATCTGCTTAATATTGTAGATTTGTAGCCAGATCAGTAATTAAAACATTTTGCAACAGGTAACTGTAGTGGAAATCTAATTCATAAAACCGTAGGCAGATTTTGTCATTGCCCGGTGCAGTGTTTGCAGGTACTGTTACCCATTTGTTCTGTTTATCCCCAGGGACAACCTACACAATGTACAAGGAGTACAGACAGCGGCAAAAGGCAGAGAGAGAGGCCATGCAACGAATCGAAGGAAACTCTACAAAGGAATAGACTATGCAACTAACACAGGGAACCAACACTCGAATATTCATCTGATTGGTTACTCTAAATTTACAGTGTTGCAATGCTAGAATATAAAACAGAATGTATTTAAACACACTTACCATACAATAGATCGTTTTCTGCTTCATTTCTACAGGTCACACACTTGCAGGCTATCATATATAATATGTACCACAGATCAGGGTTTCCTGGCCAGCCTTTACCTTACTGAAGATTTACTGCCATTTTGGAGAAAGAGCGATACCTTGGTTAGATGCAAAAAAGTGGATCTAAACCAATGATCCAGGACGGAGAGACAGTGTAGACGTGGCTAAAAATATAATTACCAAAGCACAGATAGATGATATGTGAAGCCTGAAAATACTCTACCCTCTCAGAACAATACACATTGACCCGCTATAAATTCAGTGAGCTCCTAACTTCCTGTAGTGAACTGGCAATGCTGCACTTAAATCCTAAGCAGTGTTATCAGCCACACTTGAGTTCTCTGGACTACAGAACACCTCCCCTTGTTTTATTGAACTGAAAAGAGGGGGAGGTGTACCTGGACAGATCTGACAACAGTGCTCGCAGAGATATACAGGATTGTTTTGTTTTTTTTTTTTTTTTTGTTGCTGGGAGCTAATTTAATTGAGAGCATTGTGATTACAGTTAGCACTTGTTCACATCTGTGTGGTCTGCGATTTGCGCAGGCACGAGAGCCCATTCATCTGAATGGACTCCCATGCCCTGGGAAATGCAGGGAAGAAGTCCTTGCACTAGATCGGAAATCGCAGCCCACATGGACCGAGGTTCCCGGTACGTTTGCAATTACCGGTGCAGGCGGAGTGCCATTAGAATTAATGGCACCCACTCGCGGGTCCCACATTCCTCTGTGTGGGTGGTGCAGCTGCAGGCATTTGTGCAGGTCCTGCATTCCTCTGTGTGGGTGGTGCAGTTGCAGGCATTTGTGCAGGTCCCGCATTCCTCTGTGTGGGTGGTGCAGCTGCAGGCATTTGTGCAGGTGCCACATTCCTCTGTGTGGGTGGTGCAGTTGCAGGCATTTGTGTGGGTCCCTCAACGGCACCACCTGCACAGATGTGAACCGAGGGTAAAACACTGCATGCAGTAAAGGTACAATCCACTGTAAGGGCCTGGGTAGATGTCATTCACTACAGTTTGAGATGCTTCTGCGTTTAGAATTCAGTTGGCCTCCTTTTGACCTGCATTTCCCATGCTTCAAACCAATTTTTTCATCCCATAGACTTATGAAAATGTAGATGAAATTTATACGTTTCTTAAACATATAGAAAAGTAAATCCAGTCCGATGCAAAAGCCTGTCCAATTTGAAGCCTTCAGCACCAGGTAATTCTACAGAAATTTAAGGAAATCCACCATGAGAGAAATAAGATGACTACCACTACATACCTCTCCATTGGTAATTCCAGTTATCTGCCTTTCTGTTCATACTGAAGGTTCGAATCATTGACCCAGAAGTATGCAGACAGGGACTCATGATCAGCATACTCGTGTTGGATTGGAGAATATTGAAGCCAGAGGGTTAGAATAGGTCAGGTGACTAACAACTGCAGAAGATGGTAAGCATTGGCAACCCTGGTCTCCAATGACAGGTCTACTGTACTTAAAAGTTTCATTTTAAATAAAAAAAACAAACAGAATGAAAAAAAAAGAGACACAATATTTACTGCAATGCTCATTCTTAATCTAGTGCTCACCCCCAGCAACAATTCCTGTCTACTACTAAGCATCCTCAATCTTCTGGTATGAATGACAGCAAGCCTCATTCAACCCACCTCCTTTGAGCCCAGGCTGTTATGGACACAGCTCCTGAGTTGGCATCATCGCCCTTACCCAGAATAAAGAGTAGCACTGCAAATCATTATGTGAACATTGTTCTCTGCAGCATTAGGGGACCGCCAACTGTCACCACCAGAGGAGACCAGTTAGAATACTCTTTGTTAAAGGATGTAGAATTTGATAAAAAAAAAATTCTCAGGAAGTCACTTCACACAGTTTTAATCTTTTTGACGATTTCTCGACTGAAATTCTCTTCTTTGACACAATATTTCCTTTTGCCACTCACTGACCAATCCCTAAGGAGAAGGAGCACAAGGCATCAGCTCCTATGACTGGGCATTACTGAGTAAACCAATATTACCACAGAAGTCATTTATATTAGAAGTTGTAGAAGGCTGCCACTGAGTATAAAAGCAATCTTGTGAATCTTGACAATTACATCTAATATATTTAGTACTTAAATGTTTACATAGACATTTCGTTCCGCAGTCTGCATATACTTTCCATGTTTAGTAATCTTTAAATAAAGCCTCTTGGTGTTTTATGACAAAGAGCAGAGATTGATTTTCAGACAGTAATCCAACAAATCAGTAAAGTTTATTTAAACAACTAAAAATAAACAGTATGTACACATCACAAGGAGAGCTCCCATGGTAAAAAAATGTGATCGTTCTGTGAAAAGCATAGCCAACAGAGGGTTCTACTGACTCACTGAGACAACACATCCAGGACTGCAGAGGGTTCCATGGTATGGACTCACTACACTGCAATATGGAGGGCTAACCTGGAAGGTTGTTTGTGGAGGTTGGTTGAGATCTGGTATTGACGGCTCGGAATGACAGGTATCTTGACGACAGCCGCTCACATGGGGTAATTCAGGACCACATCCTGTTTGGCCAACTCCAACAACATAGGATCGTCGAAAAATTTGCTGATGCTTACGTCTTCACTAAGACCCTGAAATATGGAGACATCTTATGAGTACTGGCCTCTGTAATAAGTCATCACAATGGGTCAACAGTTGGCTGACATGTAGGAGCCGATTTATAAAGCAGCATTATGGCCAGACAGCAAGAAAAAAAAAACTGCACATTTATAAAGCATGGTGAAGTGCTTCATAAATGTGCTTTAGCACTTCTAAGCCAGTGAAGCGCTATTTAAAGTGATATTAAAGGCTTACTTTTTTTTAAAAATAACAAACACATCATACTTACCTGCTATCTGCAGTGGTTTTGCACAGAGCAGCCCAGATCCTCCTCTTCTCAGGTCCCCCACCAGCGCTCTTCGCCCCTCCCTCCCGTCAGGTGCCCCCACAGCAAGCAGCTTGGTATGGGGGCACCTGCTGCTCCATGTGTCCATTCACAGACAGGGCCACAGCTTGATCCCGCCCCACTCTCTTCTCATTGGCTCACTGGCTGTGACTGACAGTAGTGGGAGCCAACAGCCAATGAGGGGAGGGAGTCCTGGGATTGCTGAGACTCCAGTGCACATCTTTGTATTGAGAGGGGGCTTAGGTGAGTATTAGGAGGGGGTTGGGGGGGGCTGCTGCACAGAGAAGGTTTTGTACCTTCATGCATAGAATGCATGAAGGTAAAAAAAACTTTAGTGTTTACAACCACTTTAAAAGAATAGCGTGAGGAAAAAAAAGGCAGGTAGAGCGACCAGTCATGTGACCTGTCAAAGTAATGTAAACTATTGGCTTTCCTCCAATCAAGTTCTCTCTGCTGCATTAAAGTGCAACTAAACCAATCAATTTAACATGCAAGGAATGCTGTCAGTTACTTGTGCTCTCAACCAAACTATCAAATGGCTGGTGTCATTAGTGAATACGTGCTGCATCAGGGCTGCCCCAATGTACCTATATATGAAAACTTAATAGAATTTTTTTTTTTTAGCATTAAAGGTGTTGATGAGAATTTATATTATCATTATTAAAGTGGTTGTAAGGGCTAAAGTTTTTTTTTCTACCTTAATGCATTCTCTGCATTAGGGTAAAAAACCTTCCATGATTAGCTCCCCTCCAAATACTTACCAAGAGTCCAATATCAATCCAACGCTGTGCTTGAAAGCAGTAGCACTACTCCCTTTCCTCACAGGATTCAGAGGCAGTAGCCATTGGCTCCTGTTGCTGTCAATCAAATCCTGTGAGCAGAAAGTGGAGAAAAGGGCCTTGCTGCACTATGTGTGTCAATAGACGTACAAAGCCCAGCTCAGGATGGAGCCCAAATATGTGCCCACATAACAATCAACTTGTTATGGGGATACTTGGAAGGGAGGAGGAGCCAAGAGAGCTGGAAGAGAACCCCAGAATGGAAAGTTTGGGGTTCTCTGTGCAAAACTATTGAACAGAGCAGGTAAGTATAACATCTTTAATATTTTAAGGAAAAAAAAATTTTTAAACAAGCAATCACTTTAGGTTCAGATATGTATCAATAAACAACTTAGGGTTGATCTACTTTAAATGACACAATCACTTTGAAGATTTGGTTGAACCAATAATGGACAGTCCCCCAAAATGTAAAGTTTACTCCCAAACACTTTTACATACCTTTCTTCGCCTTGTCTTAATCATGAACTCCCTGGCAAGGTGAGGTGCTGGTTGGGGCTCCAGAGGTCGAATAATGATGCTTTTATCCAAGGGATCACCTGGCACAATCTGGAATTAGGATGAAATACATCAGTAGGTTTGACTGTAAATAGTAGAATTCCAATTGAATACCACTGAGATGACTTAACCACCTCTCATCCGGCCGTTGTATATAAACGGCCAGAAGGTGGCAGTGCAGGGTTGGGTGGCCGTTTATAAACGGCCTCCCTGCCCCCTGCTTGTGCGTGCTCCCTGGGAGTGCGCAGCACCGTGATCCGGTGCCCACTGTGTCCTCCAGACACAGTGGAAACCCGATCGTCGTACGGGACCTCTGAGCGAGGTCCAGATCATGTGATCACTGATTGGCCAATCAGTGATCATATGCAGAGTAGTAAGCAAGATGTCACTTCTGACATCATAGCTTACTACATGTGAAATCTGTGAATGATCACAGAGGTCACATGGTACAAGGCCATTCACAACAGCCTTGTACCATGTGACAAGCTGTGACCAATCACAGTTCACACAGTAGTTCTGTATTTTCATCACCCCCCACAAGTAGTACAGTGTCACCATGGTGACACTGTACTGCTAGGGTGACAGTATGTATAAAAAAAGAAAGAAAAAAAAACCCCCCCATAAATAATAATATAAAAAAATAAAATAAAAATGTAAAAAAAAAAAATGTTTAAAAATTATAATATTTGGTTATAAACTAATTTGGGTTATTCTTTTTATACTAAAAAGATAACTGAATAAATTTTGGACAAGATTTATGTTGAAATATTTTATTTGCAAAATTTTATAAGAACAACACTTTTTTTTCAAAAGTTTTGGACTTTTTCATTTACATAGCAAAAAAAAAAAAAAATCCCAGTGGTGAATAAATACCACCAAAATAAATCTATCGGTCTCAAAAAAGTGCTAAAAAATTCATATGGGTACAGTGTTGCATGACCGCGCAATTGTCATTCAAAGTGTGATAGCACTGAAAGCTGAAAATTGGCCTGGACAGGAAGGGGGGTAAAAGTGTCTGGATTTAAAGTGGTTAAGATGGCCATATATTGATCGAAATTTGGCCAGTTCAGCAGTGTGTGGCAGTTCCCACTCAACAGAAGATCATTTGATCAATTTCTGTTGAAGAAACATGTCAGAAAACTTTTCTCGATCAGTGGCTGCAGAACACATTGACCAGTGTATTCTGCTGTCAGAATACAATGTCCCGGTGGGGACAAGGGAGGCTTCTGTTTACCTGTTTGTGTAAAGGAGGACACTGGCTGGTAAAAAAAACCCAAAAAAACTAAGTGTACAGTCAGCTGTGTATGGTCCCAACTGTTTCCAACTTACCTGCCAGTGATGGAACACAGACAGGCAGAAGGCCTGTCCCTGGGTGTGTGTGCGCAGATCTGTCTCAAAACCAAAAGAATCTATAGCAGGGATGAATGCTTTGATGGTGTAGAGTGGGGATCCAGGTATAGGGGCGTCCTGTGTGACGTGGCCTCTATAAGACAAAACCAGACAATTTATGAAGGAGGGACAATGCTTTTATTGGGTATATAGATAAAGCATCAGATACCCACCTCCTCCTGGCCAGCACAGTATACACAGCGGAGACACAGTCTGCAGGAGCTTGCACTTCCACAAAGTAATATGGCTCCATGAGACGGGGTGTGGCCTGCATGGGAAAAAAAAAACATATTGTTATCTTGTTCATCATAATTGATGTTTCGTTCCGTAATAAGGATGCAAGTTCCTGTACTTTTTTTTTTTTTAATATCATGATGGAAGAAAGGGACAGGGAATCACAAAGAGGGTTATATAATTGCCTGGCACACATAACGAGGCCTGGCTCAGGCCTTTAAGGGTTACATGAAGCTTCTTCCTTATTTGTGTGTTGCCCGGCACCCTCTATGCGAGTCCTATATCACAAGGCCCTGCTCTTTCATATGGATGGTGGAATCAGCGTGGAAACAACTGTCCAAATAGAAATGACCAATCAACAGGAAGGGTTAGACTTCAGCTGTCCATATACTGAAGAGATACAAGTCTGAACATGCTTTCAGGGCAAGGTGGAGTTTTGTCAGTCTAACAACTTACTGTAGCTGTGACATGAATCACTCGCTCTTTAGCCCAATACAGTGCCATATATAATTGAAATGCCAAGTTTCTAGTATCCAAGTGTCTGAGAAATGTTGGTTGCCCACAGTAACCAATTAGATTTTCAAAAGTAGCCTTTATTCCACCTTACAAATATCTATGCTGCCAGGGTACTAGCTATAGCTTCAGTTCATTCTGAAATATACTGTAAATGTTCTGTATTATCCATATCTCCCAGATTAAAAAAAAAAATACTTCAAGGCAATCTAAGGGCATAGAAGTTTATAAGTCTGAAAATAAAACCAGACACCTGTCACATGCTGAAGAAGATGACTGGACACACACAACTCTTAAATGTATGGTTTAAAACCCCCCGAGTATTAGAGCCCTATAAACAGACCCAGCTGAAGTGGTCAAGCTGCCCCTGCCCTTTGTGAGCTGATCTCACTGTGAGTTAGGTAATGATCATGAGAAGCAGATGTCAGTAATTTCTTCTATTTTGACAGTAAACCTTTAAGATAGGAGATAAATGCTCTTAGCATGTGGGCGATGTACAAGAACTAGAAGTTGCTTTACCCACCAGTTGGTGTGAGGTGGTGAGAGAGGCCACGCACTCACATATGCTGGCCTCTCAGTGCCATCTGCTAATACAATTTAAATACCTTACAGTTCTGGGTCTCTCATGAAGAAAAAGATTTTACAGTGAGCAAAACACAATACAATTTTCAGAATAAGCATAAGATACGTATTTTAGGCTCTTCCAAAGTGTCTGAGAAAAAGGCTATTGATTGTTTGGCTAAACTAAGTCAACACAGACATATTATATTATGCTGTGAACAATCAACATGGGGTTTTATCTAACAGCATGAGGAATGTGAGAAAATGTGGGCATTTCTGGATAAAATAGGAAAGACAATGACTTCTTGTATAACTTTATGATGACTTTCTGATGAAAAACAAGAGCTCACCATAAGGAAGGCAGAGTATACCACTCTGCGGGCTGTAGGAATGATCTGTCCCCCACCACGGTGCAAAGGCTCCTGAGCAATCACACAGCATCCAGGATCTTGAACTTCACATTCCGGATCACTGAGAGGGATAAAAAGTAAAGGGTATTCAATGATGAGTAATAGAGGGTGAATTTCAGAAAAGCACCAAAAATTGATCATTTTACTGTAAGCATTTAATCAACCCCTAAGACAGTGGCTATGGTCTTATCATTAGGATATACCCCCAGAACTGCAGCCAGTCCATTATCATCAATGGTGAAATATATCTTATCTTTATCTTTTCTTTACATATTAGATAGGGTTGGGTGGTTAACAAGTGTTTTTTTTTTCTGTCTGTGTCTCTTTAGGGAGTCTTACCTTCAGACACAACAGGAAGTCAGAGGAAAGCCCACTAAATTGAGGGGAAACCCCCTAGTAGACAGTTGTCAACCGAAACAGGTGTCCCCATTGAACGATTTTCCCTTTGTTCCAGTTCCATTGACAAGTGAAATATTCTGAATTTTCATGCCACTGTCTGTCACAGTGATGATTAAGTAATAAAGAGGGTGAATTTCCCCAATGGGGACATAGGTAGCAATGATAACCTGAAAGCGATTCTATTTAAAAATCTCTATATAAAAAAAACAAAAGAATTTCTGACTATAAATACATTTTAATAAGCAATATAGGTGTGTGGGCAATGTCCTTTTCAGGCACAAGGTTCAGCACAAGGAATGCATCCCTCAGATCTCAAAAGACATACAAATTTAGCTAGTAAGTCTTAGAGAAAATGGTCAAAGCCAGAGTCAACCTTTAATGCATCTTTAAACTAATCAACACTTACAGCATTATCTAGAGCAGGGGTAGACTACTGTGGCCCTTCAGCTACTGTGGAACTACAAGTCTCATGAGACACTGCAAGATTCTATCAGCCACAGGAATTACTTCCAAAGGCAGAGACATGATAGGAATTGTAATTTTACCACAAGCTAGAGTGCCATGGTTGGCTTCCCCTGACCTAGAGCTTCCTGGTGGGTCTGTCCTGTTTGGAATGTACATCTTCATACACAGAATAGTCCCCTGTAGTGAATAAAAACGTGCAAATTTACTGTGCTTGGTAATTCAGTATTACTACTGTCTAACTATACACTAGCTGTATCATCAGAAGAATGTTTAATTCTGGTCAGAGGCCTTGTTCTTTTGTCCCTGAATTCAAAAATTCTGTACATGTGATAAAAACTTTTTTTAAGCTAGAATACTTTTTTTCCCCTTGTTCGAATACTCACGTTCATCACAGAGAGGCCCCTCTCTTGTACCCCACTGGAATCCTTGTACTATACTGTCTTTTACTGAACTCAGCAGAGCTTTGTCCACCTAAAAAAAAAAACAAAAAAAACCCCAAAAAAACCACACAGTAATGAATGTGTGTACAGCTAATTTATACAATACAATACATTTTACTGCATACAGCTAAAGTAGAGCTAGGACAGTATGATAACTCTGTGGTTCATCTGGACTGTGTATTTGCAACAGAGGGGCTATTTTAAAAGAAATGTATGGGAGGATCATCTGACATTTCACTGAAAATGACATTTTAACTTGCTTACAACAGCTTTCCTAAAATCTAATAACTGAAACAATATAGAAGCATGAAGAATTGTTATTTCAAAACTGTTGCATATTGACAGACACCGCTGGACACTAAACAGGCATTGATGACTGGAATCCTTGGTTGAACGTTTAGGAAACATTGGGCTTTAAAGTGCCACCCCACACCATGAAAAGAAGCTTCACCTGCTGAAAGGTAAAAAACTGCCTGAAATTGGAACTAAACAAGATGTGCTCAAAAAAGGCAAACAGAAGCAAAGGACTGTTCACCAGTACTGACTTTCTTCTTCCTGTAGTTGATCTTTCCCCACTACTACTGACTAGCCATGCCTTGTTCTGCATTGTGTCATTATATGAAGGCAGTTATCTTTGTACAGGCAGGGCCTATTTCCCCATGTCAGAGCCTCCAGCAAAGAGAAAAATTAGTGTTACAGTAGTGATATCACCAAATACTACTCCAAATCTAGTGAGACCTGCAGTCAGAGGCAGTAGTGGCTTAGATCTCACACTGTAGATATACAGCTAGGAGGCTGCAGGCGGAAGAGTAACTAAGTACCCTCACATACCAAGAAGCACACTGCTATTTTTCAGGATAAATTCAAGACAAAAAGGTAAATTTTTAGGGTGATGTTTATATACAATTAACACTTTTGGATATTATTTCTAACATAGCCAAAACCAGTTTCACTTCAATGTGAGTGGTATTTTTACTGGAGTTTCTGTTGATGGGCAGATCTTAGCACACCAAAGGGTGCTTAACAGTTTGACCTGTGTTCTGATCACATAAACAACACACTTATTGGGTTAGAGAGAGCGTATTTTTTTATTAAAATGTGTCCACAAAGATCTGTCAATGTGTACTTAAAAAAAAAAAAAATATATATATATATATATATACCTATATCTTACACTTTTTTCATTAGGTTCCTTACCAACAATTACTTTGTTTTGCTGATGCTTGTCATTGCTCTGCATTTAACACACGGTTACAGACAAACACATACCTCAGATGGCAGAGTATCATCTACCAAGATATTGGGTCCAGTAGTGTCTGGTCCGAAAGCCCAGATAGAACGGGCAGCCAGCAAATCCCAATCGTATTTGGTCTGGAAAAATTCTCCTAGTTTCTTCCTGTTGATCAGCAAGATAAACAGTTAGGAAGAACAACAGCTAGTGATGTGACACCCCCTCACCTCCCCCTCATAAAAGTCATGCAAATTCAGATGCATGCAGGAGTTAACTTGGAATGACATTTCTGCAATACCACATTTAACCGTCAGATGGAGCCGACGATCAACAATGAATCTGCGTGAGGCAAAGCAATGGCATTCAATTATATCTGAGAGTTTCTATTTTTTTCGCCAGCCTGAAAATCCTTTTAATCATTAGAAATCAAAATGATGGGAGTAGAACTCTTGAAATATATTTGTAAACCATCAAATAACATTGATGCAGGATTAAACTCCCCTCCATCCATTACAAAACTCACCTGTTCCAAGAGATCTGCACCACTTCATTTTCAATGTCTTCAGCTAGCCCTTTCTCCAGGGGTTCTGCAATCATTGTGATCTTATTCCTTCATACAAAAGGATACATGTTAGCCATACATAAGAGTCCATACGTTAAAGATAAGAACAAAACAACAATTCTTACTATGACTAGAGACAGAGACTGACAAAAATGTTGAAGGAAAAGGAATAAAATGCTCAAACATAAATCCTGAATTATCAATCCTTACTTCTTATTAGGTGTCTCAGCAAAGCACTTCAGTGACGAGGTTTCCACAACAGTCTCACAAAAACGTCACCACGGGATCTGCTACCTGCAGGGCCAGTAAAAAGTTAACACCGATCTGAAAGAGACCTTTTTGCCAGACCTTTCAATTCAACAGAAACGTTTCTAGTGGATTATATGTGCATTAAACACATTTTTGGCATGTTATTTACCTGCAAAAGCCTCCCTTGTGTAAACATCCAAAAGCCCTGAAACTGCTGCTGAGCACCACCATCTTGGGTGTAATGTTAGCAGCCTCCTAAGACCCAAAGCTGTCACTCAAGTGACATACTATAGCATTCTCCTTCACTTCAACAGGTACATAAATGTGTGCCGTATTTTTTGCTCCATTAGACGCACTTTTTTTCCCTCAAAAAAAATGGGGAAGATGTCTGTGCGTCTTATGAAGCAAATATGGAGCGGCTGTTCTGGTATTCCCCGTCACCGCGTTAGAATACGGGGCCTAATCAGGTCTTCTGAAACAGTCAAAACACAGCAAGTAAACATTTAAAATGCGTAATTTTTCTGTGCTTTTACCTGCATTTTTTTTTGCTTGCTGACATTGCCTTTTTAAATCATTCTAGCAGAGTGTGCCCTTTCCCCGTACAGCTAAATCACAATTGTGTAGTTTATTAAGGTGTCATTGGTTTTTATTTACATAGTACATACATAGTATTTAATATTTCAGTGTAAGCCTCCAGAAACTTTGAGAGACAGTGTAATTCCATGGCAGAAGTCACACAACTGTCCCTTTTAGGCTACATGCTTTGGAAACTACTGAGCACTTAAACATGGGATGTTTGCATATGCTCAAATTATTATCTAAAGTTGAACTCCAGGCACATATAGAAGACACAAAAAAATGAAGCTCGGTAAGCATTAGAGCTGGGCATCTGTTAAATGTATCCATGCAGCGGGGTCCCCACTGCAAAATATTTGTTTGGCTAGGGGGAAAGGACAAAAATCTGATTTCACTATGTAAATAGCAGAACCAGCAGTACTGCATTGTATGAGAGGACCTGCCCACATCCTAGGAGTGTCCCACAGAGGAAGCTGCCAGGGCAGTGAGGAATACGATAAGTACTTGTACATATTCTTTACCCCATAGCCAAGTGAATACTTAATCCATGTTGATAGGAGAGACTATAATGACTGAAAAAAGCTAATCAATCTGCTGCTTCTTTCGCTGTCCAGTCACAGGGCTGAGGGAGGGAGGCAAGACCTGTAGATGTTACTTAAAACAAATCTACACTCACCTCAGTTCCAGCGATGTAGTGTCTCTCTGCTCCCCACCCAGCCGCTGACATCTTCAAGCGGCTGGCGTCCAGGTCTCGATCACCAGCCGCTATCATTGGTCAGGTGGGGATAACGCCACAAAGCATGTCTCTTCTGCATTAAAATTCCCGCCTGTCTGACAGTTTTTTATTTTTTTTTAGCTAGAATTCCACTCTAACTGCAGAAAATGAAAATCAAGTCTTCTGCCCTGCCAAAAAGCATGGTAGGGCTGTGTAACTCTCAGGACTACATGAAAACACAAATCTTTTGGCAGGTAGCTCTCTTATGCTATACAATTGTTTGCCTGGAGGTCAGCTTTAGGACTGTTGAGGGATATTCTTTTCTTGTTCAATATTTTGTATTAATGAGACAGTGTACAAGCATTATTCAAGTCATTTCAAAATTGTGCTGCTATACACTCAGGAAATAATGTAAGATCATGCAAATGGTTTCATTCGTAATAACATATGAAAAAAAAAAAAAAAAAAAAAAAAAAAAAAAAAGAGTACCAATTGGAGCAATGTACACTGCAATACTCATTAAGAATGCAAAGGAATAACCCCGATTCACAGGGAAAGTTGCGCTTAAGAGCTCCCTGGTACAAGAGGTGGGGAGCTGCTGGGTGTAGGGAGGAAAAGAAGGGGTGGGGGATGGACATTCTTTTTAAACGCTCTGTTTGTTATTAAAAGGCAATTGCATGCTTAATGCTTGTGCTGATAACATACATCTGGAAGCTATATATTCACCCATGAGTTAAAGGAAAGAAATGAAAATTAAAGAGAAAACAGAGGTGCTGCCTGGAAAAAAATTCAACTTTGGTCCTATAAGAAACAAGAACTTTACTTTTAATGGCCACACTCACCTTAATGTCAATCTCTGAATACATTTTGCGGAGGTCATGCATGACACAGTCCAAGTACAGCTCTCCGGTACCCAGAATAACGTGCTCCCCAGATTCCTCCACCTAGACACATGTATAAAGTTACTGCAGCAGATAATGTATATACAGGAGCAGTACCGTATGACTCAAGACTTCAGTCCCTAAATTTCCAATGCTGACCATCCACATCACATTCTCAGTAGTGTTCACCAGGATGGATGGTAAGTTCCCTCCAATGACTACTGTAGGATGGTGGAAACCGGCTACAGAATTAGCTGCGGTGATGGACATAGTAGACACAGCCAATGACAAATACCAGAAAGGCAAGATACCTTGGTAGTAAGCGAAGGGTAACTCTTGTTGACTTTTCTTAATCCATCTAACATCTTTGGAAGCTCTGAAGGATTCACAGGCTCCACAGCAATCTTAATGACTGACGTGGTGTTAAACTTCAATGGCCGGAAAATCTGAGCCTAGAAAGACAAAATTTACAAAACATTACCTTGCTTATTGCTATTAGTTTGCAATATTACATATTCGAAAACAAAAGAATTCCATATTTAAAATGTAACTCCAGCCAAGTCATTCTTTTCATTTTGGATACTGAGTGAAGAGCTAGAACCTCTGTCAGATTTTTATTACAGCCTCATTGGAGAAATTTCTCTGTAATTCCACTTCTAGAGACACAACAGGAAGTAGAAATCTCCCTAAAATGAGTTAGAATCCTATCTATGACGGCTGTCCCTGGTGGAAGACCTCTCCATTGGTAGTGCTTGGCAGACAATCCTACCATTTTGCATTTTCCCTCACTTTTTATTTATTTTTTTTTAAGTTATAGATGGTCCTGAACAGTACTGTATACATGGATTATCCAACTGGTAAGAATGGTAGCATTTCGATCAGCTTTCCAATTTGTTGGTGCAACCAAAAACCCCTTTATATAAGGCAGGCATGGGGCTCATATTTACCTCCTCATTGCCCCGTGGCTCAGTGATTGTGGCAGTCTTCACAATTGGCTGGTCCACTCCCTCAATAAGAACCCAATTTCCAGCTGGCACTCTGTTCACTTCGATTTGATACCTGTAAAGATCAGAACATTGTCACCTCTTGTAGGATGGAGAGTGCAACTAACCTCATAATGCAACAGTGTTGGAAGCCATGTCTCTGTGCTGGATACTAGATAACAAATGATCAGAGAAGGAAACTTACATATCTGCAGAAGTTATGATAGGCTAAATTACTAAGCATAATAAATTAGATAAGAGTACATAGTATCAAATATATTTATTATACACTGCTCAAACCAATTAAAGGAACACTTTGAAAACACATCGGATCTCAATGGGGAAAAATCTCATGCTGCATATCTATACTGATATGGACTGGGTAATGTGTTAGGAACGTAAGGATGCCCCATCGTTTGATGGAAATGACAATTATCAACCTACTAAGGACTGATTTCAAAGACAAATCAAAAATCGAAAATCAAAGTGAAAAACGATGCAGTAGGGTAGTCCATGTTGCTGAAATTTCTTTGCAGCAACTCAAAATGGTCCTCAGTAGTTGTATGGCCCCCACGTGCTTGTATGCATGCCTGACAACATCGGGGCATGCTCCTAATGAGACGACGGAGGGTGTCCTGGGTTATTTCCTCCCAGATCTGGACCAGGGCATCACTGAACTTGGCTGGACCGAAACATGATATCCCAGAGGTGTTTTATTTTTGGATTTATGTCAGACGAGCATGGGGGCCATTCAATGGTATCAATTCCTTCATCCTCCAGGAACTGCCTGCATACTCTCCCCACACGAGGCCGGGCATTGTTGTGCACCAGGAGGAACCCAGGACCCACTGCACCAGCGTAGGGTCTGACAATGGGTCCAAGGATTTCATCCCGATACCTAATGGAAGTCTGGGTGCCAATGTCTAACCTGTAGAGGTCTGTGCGTCCCTCCATGGATATGCCTCCCCAGACCATCACTGACCCACCACCAAAACGGTCGTCATGCTCAACGATGCTACAAGCCGCAGAAATTTCTCCACGGCTTCTCCAGACCCTTTCATGTCTGTCACATGTGCTCAGGGTGAACCTGCTCTCATCTGTGAAAAGCACAGGGCACCAGTGGTGGACCTGCCAATTCTGGTGTTTAGTGGCAAATGCCAATCAGGCTCTATGGTGCCGGGCAGTGAGCACAGGGCCCACTAGAGGACGTCGGGCCCTCAGGCCACCCTCATGAAGTCTGTTTCTGATTGTTTGGGCAGAGACATTCACACCAGTGGCCTGCTGGAGGTCATATTGTAGGGCTCTGGCGGTGCTCATCCTGTTCCTCCTTGCACAAAGGAGCAGATACCGGTCCTGCTGATGGGTTAAGGACCTTCTATGGCCCTGTCCAGCTCTCCTAGAGTAACTGCCTGTCTCCTGGAATCCCCTCCATGCTCTTGAGACAGGGTGCTGGAAGACACAGCAAACCTTCTGGCAATGGCACGTATTGATGTGCCATCCTGGAGGAGTTTGACTGCCTGTGCAACCTCTGTAGGGTCCAGGTATCGCCTCATGCGACCAGTAGTGACACTGACCCTAGCCAAATCCAAACTAGTGAAAAACAGTCAGAAAAGGAGTAGGAAAAAAATGTCAGTGGCCTCCACTAGTAAAACCAGTCCTGTTTTGGGGATTGTCTCATTGTTGCCCATCTAGTGCACCTGTTGTTAATTTCATTAACACCAAAGCAGCTGAAACTGATTAACAACCCCCTCTGCTACTTAACTGCCCAGATCAATATCCCAGGAGATTCACTGACCTGCTGCTAGACTCTGATTAAAAAGTGTTCCTTTAATGTTTTTGAGCCGTGTATTTGTTAGGTTAACACAATCTAAGTATCATGTAGATGTGACTCTTACAGATATTTATTACTTCTTAAAGAGATCACAGTCCCCCCTGACATTGCCTTTATCTGATTTTCTCTCCAGGAGGACAGATACATCTTTTTAGGCAAAATCCAGGTTCAGCATCCTCTTCCTGGACTGAGATGCTGGTTCAGGGAAACCCCAATCATGTATACCCTGGTGTCTGTGTGGTGTGTTTACAAATGTCGGACAGCTCAGAACAGAGAATGCATGTGAGTTGAAGGTCTGTTTTTGTGGACTCACCTGGCAACGGAGACCCACAATCTTCCCACAGTGCAGACCTGGGAGTCCTCTTCATCCTCTAAGGTGTAATTCTCCCCCAAAACACTTTTACTGCTTGCCCAGCATGAATAGTGCCACTCAATACTCGACCAAAGGCATGAAACTGCACCCCGTCATCTGTACTGTACATCTTGGTGGTGTGACACATTAGAGGTCCCTAATACATAGATCAGAGACAAGTATTACTGATTGGACAAAGCAGACAGGCGTATCATCCTTCAAAGCAGGACAATCTTCTTTTCACATAAAACTACTGTGCGCTGTAAACTTACAACAAAACAAATTACTTTCATATCACACTGTTCAAAACTTAATGCAATATCAGATTGTTTTTCTCCATTAGGGACAGAGGAAATTTTTAAAGTTTAATTCCATCTCACTGACTTGGTTTTATGTTACACCAATATTTAGGGTGCTCCCCAATAACATCTGGACAGTCAAAGCTACATTGCCTGACAGGCCCACAGCCGTGTGCTTGCACAGAGTGTTCCCTCTACAGGAGGTCATCTAAGTATTACACAATGAAGATGCCACAACAGCACAACAAGGCTATTACTGGGGCTTTGGTGAGCACATAAGGTTCAGATGAGAGGCCAAAAGGCAGGACCACACACTGGAAGTGTAGAGGGTAACAGTAAAACATAGGAAAGGGTTGGGGGTCAGGGGCAGATTTTGTAAAATCCATGGGCAATTTCTAGACCCAAATGATGACTTTTAGAGATTTGAGATTCAAGATGAGACAGATGGGTTGGGAACAAGTGAACAGGCTGGAGTAGAACTCCTGAAACAGTTCTGCCAAAGGAATTGGGGCAGTATAGTACATAGCGCCAAGCTATATGCTGTAATGCTTGACAGTCACCCCTCCATGCAATGTTCCGTGGTCTCCCTGCTAGAGGACACTTAATTGCATAAGTCAAGTCTGAGTTCTGAACACCTTTTATTTATTCTCTGCCCACAATAGTGGAGACATGAAGCCTTGTCAAACACACAAAACCATAGCACAAAGCATATCTGAAGCTGCATTATGAAATTGTTCTTTGAGCGAATTAAATGGGAGGGATTATAGGAACTCACATCTGAATCACACTGGCTCATTTCCTCTCCTAGGTCACAATCAATGCCTCCAGTGTACGTGTGCTCAATCTTGGCTCTCCCGCCACTCTTAGGCGAAGGGATGTGCTGGACACACATATCCACAAAACCTTGACATTGCAGAAATAGGAAAAAAAAAAAAGACAAGTGAAGGAGTCTATAGAAGAGAAAGTCAAATGTTTCATCAGACTGCATTAACACATGACCCTAGCCCAATAATCATAACCCCCCCTCCACCCGCCAAGGAAAATACTTAACACAACTTTATACACAGGTAATGGGACAAATATTTAGGTCCAAGTTAGGTTTTCTGCACAATTAGTGCACAATTCTGCACAAAAAGGGATTCACAGGTAAGGATATTGCTTCTATTAAGACTGCACTGAAATCAACCATTTATCGGATCAAAAAGAACTTTTTCAATTGTTGTGAAGAAGGCTTTAGAGCGCCCAAGAAAGTCCAGCAAGTGCCAGGACCGTCTCCTAAAGCGGATTCATCTGTGGAATCAAGACATCACCAGTGCAGAGCTTGCTTAGGAATGGCAGCAGGTAGGTGTGACACATCTGAACGCACAGTGAGGAGAAGACTTTTGGAGGATGGCCTGGTGTCAAGAAGGGCAGCAAAGAAGCCACTTCTCTCCAGCAAAAACATCAGGGACAGACTGATATTCTGGAAAAGGTACAGGGATTGGACTACGGCAAAGTCATTTTCTCTGATGAATCCACTTTCCGATTGTTTGGGGCATCCTTGTCCGGAGAAGAAAAGGTGAGAGCTACCATCAGTCCTGTGTCATGCTAACAGTAAAGCATCCTGAGATGCAACCTGCGGGGGGTTGCTTCACAGCAAAAGGAGTGGGCTCACTCACAATTTTGTCTAAGAACACAGCCATGAATAAAGAATGGTACAAAAACATCCCCCGAGAGCAACTTCTCCCAACCCTCCTTGCCATAGGGAAAAAAGTGATAATTTTGGGTTCATGGCCAGGAAACTGCCCAAACCTAAATCCCATTGAGAACGTGTGGGTCAATCCTTAAGAGGTGGTTGAACATAAAAAAACCCCACAAATTCTGACAAACTCCAAGCACTGATTATGCAAGACTGGGGTGCCATCAGTCAGGATGTGGCCCAGAAGTTGACTGATAGCATGCCAGGGCGGATTGCAAAGGTTTTGAGAAAAAAAAAAAAAATTAACACTGCAAATATTGATTTTTTGCATAAACTTTATGTAACTTGTCAATAAAAGCCTTTGAAGCTTATGAAATGCTTGTAATTATACTTCAGTATTCCATAGTAACATCTGACAAAAATATCCAAAACCACAGACTTTGTGAAATTTAATATTTGTGTCGGTCTCAAAACCTTTGGCCAAGGCTGTAGGATGCCACTGCAGATGTGCTTCATAAAATTATAATTTCATGGCTGCCTCGGGCTTCAGAACTTAATTAATGACCCAGAATGAGCATGCAGAGGAGTTCTTTAGCATCATTGGGATATTACTGTTCTGTTATATTGATTCAGAAACAGTCCTGTATCCAGACACAACCAGTGTTTCCAGAAGGCGGTTAGTGATAGCAGCCTTCATATATTTCGATGGTGTACTTAAGAGGGAATCTGTCCAAAAACCAAAATGACTGCCTTTGAAGCATCAGAAGACAACTACTATTCCCTGACTTGCACACTGTAAGCAAGTTCCAGGGCTGTGATCTCACGGACAGCAAAGCTCAGTAGGTTCAACCACAATACAGTTGAGTCGCTGTACAGCTACTTCCACAAGAAATATTTAGCTTTGTGAGATGTTCCTTTTAACAACAAAAAAAGTCTTCATTTAATCTTGCATGCTCTTCTCTGAGGCTGTTGTGAGCTGCACTGTGCAAAAATTGCAGTCTGTCAGTCTTGGAGGATTCTGCTATTTTTCTGTACAATGACAGAATTACAGAATTTCCTGTGCGTAATGGTCACTTGTGGCAACCAGTAAAGAGAGTAAAAAACACAACACAAAATAAAAGATGAACTGAATAAAATTGAGAAAATGAAGACTGCATAAAATACAAAATATAAAAATCACTTATTTAAAGCTATATAGCCAAAGGTTTTGGGACACTTGATTATCACAACGGTTATATGTTAAAAACTACGTGGACACTCCTCCAAATTATTCAGCTCAGATGTTTCCAGGAAGGGTAATAGGGTAATATTAACTTCAGAGCATAAAAAACCATCATAGACAACTGTCTGCTTTCAACCTTGTGACAACAGTTTGGGGAAAGGACCCTTTTTGGCTTCAGCAAAAAGACAGCTTCATAAAAGACATGATTTGACAAGTCTGGAGATGAGGAACTTGAGGATCTTGCATAGAACTCTGGCCTCCTCCCTACTGAAAACTTTCAGGATGAAATGGAAGGCCAATTGTGAGCCAGATATTCTCATTTAGCATCAGTAACTGACCTCGCACAAATGGACACATTTTCCCACAGACACACTTCTAAATCTTGTGGAAAGCCTTACCAGAAGAGTGAGGGCTGATAAAGACTATGGTGACAAAGACTACGGGTTTGTATTCAGTTGTTAGACAGATGTCCACAAACGTTTGGCCATAAAGTATTTGCAAACATTGCGCAACCTTGGATTAAGTTGCAAATACAAGATATATATATATATATATATATATATATATATATATATATATATATATATAAACATATGATCCTGTGAGCTTACCTGTAAACTCCCCAAAAAATCGGTTACACACAAGCCTCAGAAGAGGTCGAATGTTCAGTTTTAACTCCTCCTTGGTGAGATGAATCCCCAGCTCCTCCAAGGTATGAGGCAGAGTTGTGTCTACATCACCCACCACCTGCACAACAAAAAAAGGGCAATGAATAATTCAGATCAGTGTGCACCAGGACCAGAACCTATACATTGCAACCCAACAGACCTGAGCCAGGATCTTGTAAAGAGGTTCCAGGACAAACTCCACAAAACTGCGCTGCGAGCTGCTTGTTGGAGCTTTCTTGGTAAATTTTCGACTTGAAAAAGGGTGGAAAAGTTAAAAAGTTAGAAACACAACACAATTCTTAAGATGAAAACTCTTCTGTACAAAGGATGCTAAGACTTTTAAAAAATCTGCAATGTGTCCTGATTTTTTCAGAGCAGAACCAAAATATGAGAACTATGTTTCAGTGCACACATTTATAGGGAGAACAGACAATCTACCTACACAGGGACGTAACTTCAGCACAGCAAAAAAAAAAAAATCTGCTGGCTGCTGTCAAGCACTGCAACAAGCACAAAAGTAACAGATCCTGCAATGGAAGACCTCAATCCAATCCTAATTTAAAAGAAAACAGAAGCTAATGAAATATTTGATGGTATGGGTTCCCTTTGGTACTAGTGGCTGCAACTATACACTTTGTCTTGTGCATTATGTTTCCTACACATTTACAGAGGGTTCAGTTATTAGCACTGTGTCCGTGGGTTCAATTCTTACCAAGTACTCCTACCTGCATGAAGCTTCTATGGTGCTTGTGTTGTCCCAGATCCCTGCACCCCAAACCAAAACCATTTCAAGACTCTGAAGTGAGCCTATCGCTAGGCTATGGACATTCAGGCTTTTATTTATTCTTAACAAGCAGAAAATGGGTATTAAAACAATCCCTCATCGACCTCTGCAGCTTCAGGCACTGTGAAGAAATTAATTTAAGGTTGTCCCAGGCCTTTACTCAGCAGCTCAGCTTACCCTACTTCTTCTCTCAGCAATGACTCAGTAGCCTTCCAGTCTTCTAATCTCTAATGTACACACAAAGCAGGCGCTCTGAGATTGCTGGGCTGCTGAGAGCATGACTTAGATGATTTCAATTCTCCTGCTGAAAGGATGATTTGATCCACAGTACCTGAGCTACAGGGGTCACTGAGAGAATTATTACAAAAGGTAATTTACAGCTTTCTTAACATGTAAATAATTGTATGTCTATAGTCTGGCCACAGGTTCACTTTAAGCAGCTTTCATCTAAGTGGGATGTGCTAAACTGTGATTGGGATATAACATTGTAAGCTCTTTCAGGGACATAATCTGAGAAAAATGTTTGAGCTAAATAAACAAGTAAAATACTGTAAATGTCAAAAGATAACAAAAGACTGACCACTACCCTTCTTTTGGCAATGACACTACATATCGCGCATCTTCTCATCAATGCTTTTGCGCACATATACGATGTCTTCCTTAAGACATACTTACGTCTTTGGATTGAAGTAGATATCACCCCACAGTCGTTTAGAGAACTCTAGATGATTAATATCACCTAATGAAAACATGAAAATGTTACAAGATGCTTCTAACAATATGAACCTCTTCTGCATTAAGGAAGCCTTAAAGGATTTAATTTTTAAAAGTTGCAACAAAACAGTATAAATGTCTACAGACCAGTCAAAAGTGGGGATGTAAGGCTACATTCACACCGGGGTCTTAAACTGGTAAAAAATGTAGCAACAGGGATCTTCTGATTTCTGCTGCAGCTTTGAGCGGCTAGGTGTGGCTGCTGGCCTCTTTCACTGTACTGACAGGTTGCCGACAGCCGCAGGTATCTGCAGTTGTCCGCACAGCCAGTGATTACATGCAGTGATCACATGCAGTGATGCAGTGATTTATGTAACACCATAAAGGGTATTATTGAATGTATATTAGGCAGTCCATTCGCGTTCTTTTCTCAAATGTATGCATTGCCTCAGCTCATATTCCACAAAGCTGTGCATTCTAAAAAAAAAATTCCTAAATTTCAGCTTACTTTATCCTTTACTCCTCTGCTGCTGGAACTAGTGATAAGCAAACTTCAATATGTGACAATGAAAGTTGTACTATAGTGTTTCTGCCACTAGTGGAGTGTTCTTGGGTGACAGAACTGCATGTTTGCTACAGGCCCAACATGACAGGCAGTCTATTCTTCAACCAACAACTACCTTTCCTTTCATGTAAGTGTCAACATGTTTTATCTGACAATAACAGTAGGTTTTGTTTTCTATTTTCGCATATAACCAGGCTAATGTTAGAATTTTATATATTTTTTTAAATACTTTTTGCAATATCATACAATAATTAGAACAGGAAGTTAACATACCAAATGTGTCTGCGTAGATCTTTGCAAAAGAGCCCAGGGTGAAGCATATGCTGTACTGTGAACTTGCAAAGCAGACATTCCCCAAGAGAGGAGACAGAATGAGATTCTCGTCTGTGGAATACATGCTGAAGACAGAGACAAACAGATATTACTGGAAGAAGGAACACGCCAGTAGAACTGGTCATCGACCTACAAAATGCAGGTAAAAAACACAGGCAAAGCAAGTATTTTAAAGGCAAGCTCTGGTAATCTGCTATGCCAACACTGCAATGGTTAACTGCTTGTTTTGTCTGGGGGAGTGAGGAATTGCTTTTACTAACCTGATCCTATGCTCCCCAATGCTCTGGCTGTGGACTGTCCCCTGATATCTTCACACCCAATGAAGAGCTATGGACCCTACAATGGTCTTGATGACATCAGGACCTTAGACCGCTGAAGCAAGGGGGAGAAGACACTGTGGGGACCGGTCTAGCAGCGCAGTGGATCGGGTAAGTGAATCTTCTTTTCTATGTCCCTTAGACCTAAACAAGCAATTAACTCTTGTATTGCAGGTGCTGCCCCACTACAAGGGAAAATGTAGGGCCAGTTCACACTACATGCGTTTCAGTTGCTTTTTTTCTGCATCCAAAATGCACAGAAAGTAGGTTATATGGTTGTCAATGTCATAGTGCACATTAGTGCTTCCGATGGAGTGCTTCAGGTTCCAGTGCGTTCCGGTTGCAGAAAAGAAAAAGTAGAACATGCTGCCTTTTTTTCTGCACAGAACTGTACTGGAACGCGGTAAAACTCATAAAACAAGCACTGGAACGCACCAAAACGCACATCTCCCTATTTAAATTGAAGAGAGAGGAAAAAACGAACTGGAATGCATAAAAAAAATGCACCAGAATGTATCAAAAATGCGCATGTGGAAACACATCCGGAACGAATATGGACTGCGTTTCTACAGTGTAAACCAGCCCTTAACGTTTCCCCAAGTTGGGCTTTAAATACGTACTCGCAGTGTTTTTTCTTTTCATAAATTTTTTTTTATTTACTTGCAATGTGTCTCTGAACTTGCTGTAAAACCTGTCTACTCCAGGAGAGACAATTTCCTAGCATAGCCTCCTAGCTTATTACTGTCTTTGCTGGAGTTCCTCTGCCCCTAACCTCCCTGCACAGCATTTAATGTAACTGTCATGAGTGAATTGAAGGGGACTACTACAGAGTGTGATTTGAGTAATAGCTCAATAGCTGGGCTGCTGATATCACATCCAAGATGGCGTCACCCAGCAATATTCCCATGAGGCTTTTACGGGTAAATAACATGCATAAAATATATTAAATGCACATATAATTTTATGGGATGATTTTTGTTGAAAAGAATGGTCTGGCGACAAAGTATCTTCAAAATACACCTGAACTTCAACAATTCATGGCAAAGCAAACCGGTTCAATTTAATGTCATCCTCTGCAGCTGTTTATAACGACTTTTACCTCCTGCCCACCTGTAGAAATTAGATGGAGCTCTGTGTAAGCTCCAAGTCAAGGCTAAAAACCCACATTGTACCTCCACATGACCAGGCTGAGTGCTTGAACAGCGAATCACCAAGCTCCAGTGCTATCATGTGGGAGGAAGGGGAGCGCCCCAATATACAGATGAAACTGATATGTCATTTTGCTTTCCGGGACAAATAAAGCAACAGAAAGGTGAATATAAGCAGTTAGCGGGGGCAGCATTCAAGCTGCCCCTAATGGGAAGGGGACAGGTTCACTTTAAAATTTGCAGCACTGAAAAGGTCTACTCACCTCAGCAGCCCATTAACCTCATCCACAATGTGCCTCAGCTTATAATAGGCATCAGTAGGGGGAAGCTTTAGCTCCAGAATCAAACGGTCAATCTTGTTAATGCAAACAGTGACAGCCAAGCGTTCCTGCACGGCATGCTTTATCAGACGTTCTGTGTTTAGCATGACCTGTATAGGCATAAGTAAGGAAGGTAAGGAGGCAGGCAAAACTGTTGGGATATGAATGGAATACAGATAGAAAATCTGGAATTTTGCCTGAGCCGCACATTTGAGGAAGACTCCTAAGGAGGTTAAGCGGTACCATTTTAAACTATTGATGGGACACAAGAATAAAATCTATGATGTCAGCAATTTACAGAAAGATGTTCCTTATTGCATGTGGAGTAGGTCCCTGAGAATGTGCCCTCCTGGTTTTAAATGTAAAATATAAGCGAACCGAGTGAAGTAAAGTTTGGGTGCACAAACCAGCTGTGGCACAAGAAAGCTTACCCCTTCAGCAGCATCGATGAACAGGACAATCCCATCTGATATGCGAAACCCGGCTGTCACCTCATCAGAGAAGTTCACATGACCTACAAAGCACAGGAGGTAACAATTCACATCTTTACGCTGCATGGGAGGAGCTTCTCATAAGAACAGACAGCTCTTTACCCAAGTCCCCATTCTGCACAAATACTCTAATTGCACCAAGTGTCATCCTGGCATGGGAGAAATAAGCAGGCTGTCATTGTGGCCCCCCTCCCTTCTGAAAGTGCCAACTGCCTGACTGGTGAAGCTGAACCCGACCTGAAAAGTATGTAATTTAAAAAAAATTGACTGTGTACTTGTTCAGGACTGGTGGCTCAGTGCATGTAATTCAGAGTGTCAGCATGACAGGCATCCTGGCAACTAACATTTTCAGGAGTAAAGGTCAGCAATGTTCCATGTTCCTCTTGTGGCAGGTTTCCTTTAAAAACACAGATACAAGGCAGACTATGCCATAAATGAATAAATTATCTGAATGAAAAACTAGTACTCAAAATATGTACAGTCTTTGAGTTTTGACTTCACTTGCCGCATGCTTGTTCTGCGGCTGTGACTCAGGAAGCACATAAGTGCTTAGTGGTAGGTCAGTGATAGCAGCCTATAAATCTCTCTTAGTACAGCTAGAACATTTTTCTAATCATATAGAAGCATCTTTGAATGGCTTAAAAAGTGTTGAGGTAATCTTCTCTCCAACTGAAAATGTCATGCCGTTGATAAATATATTTTTTTGCCCTGGGGTTCCTTTATTTTCTAGGCCTTTTAGACATTTAAATTTAAGTAAAAAGGTTTACTTTAGTGCCCTGTTCACCAGCCAGGCACACTCAACTTTCCTCATGACCCACCAAGAACAATGTAAGGAGGCCCAGTGTACGTTTCTAGTTGCTCTAGCCACATCCTACACAGGCCTCTTTCTGCCCCCATGTTACAGTACTGGAACAATTCCCAAACATCAGTGCTGTAGCATGAAAGTAAAGGGAGTGAGGCACATTACTCCCGAACCTGGCATACCAACAGGCACTTTCCTTGTCTGAACAAAGTGTCAAAAGTGTGAAAAAACAATGGAGTAGGTGCTGCTGGGTATGAGAGGGCATTAAACCAAATCTGTTGTTTTGGCCTGTATGGAGAAAACACAGGTTTACTTTAAAATTTAGCTCCACATAATGAGCCTAATTTACATTACTAGTACAGACTATGTAAATACAGGAAAACAGTTAAAATGCATGCTTCCTTCAGAATGGTTATAAAAATCTGTCATTGCAGGCAGCAAGAAAACCGAAAGAAAATTAACCACCACCTCTAATGATTTAACATACCGGGTGTGTCCATAACATTAAAGAGGTAAGATTTCTCTTTGGTGTCTGGAAGAACGATTGTTACCGGCGTACTCTTCATACCGACTCCTCTCTGCAAAGAGGGCACATAATAATTGTGTGTTCATGCATAACCACAAACTGCTACATGCATACATCACAAACAATGCAACCACTCACCTCCTGCTCTGTGAACAGAATGTCAGTGTAGCAAAGCTGAAGAAAAAAGGAACATACATCAGATAAAAAAAAACAACAAAAAAACAAAAAAAAAAAAAAAACACAAAGTCGGCAATTCACTGAAAAGTGATTCTACAACATAGCTGCCCCATTGATAAGAGTGGTCTCTGTGTATGCTACAGTTAGACACAGTACTTGAAATTGGAAGGAATTATATTACACACACACTTTTTATTTTTTTTTAAATTCTAGTTTACAAATCCTTCTGTAACCATGAGTGAAATAATGAGGCTGATTTACTAAAGGATTGAGAATCTTAAGAATAAATTGTGTGAATATTCACTTTAATGATCCAGTCGTTATTGGATAATTTGAAATTAATTCTCACAAATTTATTTTGTAAACTTTCTCAAATCCTTGAGCAAATTAGCCTCAATGGTTCATCGGAAAGGCATTCAGCAAATAAAATCAAATGCAGCAGGAAAAGTGGGTACAAAAAGTATTGAACACGTCACCATGTTTTTCAGCAAATAGATTTCTAAAGATGCTATTGACATGAAATTTTCACCACATGTTGGTAACAACCCATGCAATCCATACATACAAAGAAACCAAAACAAATAAGTTCAGAAATTAAGTTATGTGAAATAAAATGGAATGACACAGGGAAAAAATATTGAAACCGCTAACTGAAATTTATTTAATACTTCATACAAAATCCTTTGTTCGTATTGACAAGTTCAAGACGTTTCCTGTATGGAGAAACTAGTCGCATGCATTACTCAGGTGTGATTTTGGCCCATTCTTCAACACAAACAGTCTTCAAATCTTGAAGGTTCCGTGGGCCTCTTCTATGAACTCTGATCTTTAGTTTTTTCCATAGATTTTCTGTTGGATTCAAGTCAGGGGATTGGCTGGACCATTTGAGCAGCTTTAGTTTCTTTCTTTGAAAGCAAGTGAGAGTTTCCTTGGCTTTGTGTTTGGGATCATTGTCTTGCTGAAATGTCCACCCTCGTTTCATCTTCAACATCCTGGTAGATGGCAGCAGATTTTTATCAAGAATGTCTTGGTACATTTTGTCCATCTATCCATCCTTCTTTCAATGATATGAAGTTTGCCATTACCGTATGCTGAAAAACAGCCCCACACCATGATGTTCCCACCTCCATGCTTCACTGTTGGTATGGTGTTTTTGGGGTGATGTGCAGTGCACATCCACAAGTGGTCCTTGACTCTTGGACAACTCTTCTGATAATTATTTTCACTCTTCTGTCAAAAATCTTGCGAAGAGCACTTAGTCGTGGCCAGTTTATGGTGAAATTATGTCATTTGCACTTCCGGATTATGGCCCCAACAGTATTCATTAGAACATTCAGAAGTTTAGAAATCCTTCTGTAAACAATGCCATCAGTATGTTTTGTAACAATAAGGTTGTGAAGGTCCTGAGAGCTCTTTGCTTTTATCCATCACAAGATGTTTCTTGTGTGAGACCTTGATAATGAGACACTTTTTTTATAGGCCATTGGTTGCGACTGAACCAGCTCATATTAATTTGCACTGACAAGGGACAAGATTGCTAATTACTAATACATTTCAGCTAGTGTCTTAGCTTTCCATGCCTTTTTGCACCTCCCTTTCTTCATGTGTTCAACACTTTTTCTCTGTGTCATTCCATTTTATTACACACAAGTTAATTTGTGAACCTATTTGTTTTTTGTATGCATGGATTGCACGGGTTGTTACTGACGTGATGAAGATTCCATGTCAATAGCACCTTTAGAAATATATTTACCTTCGCGACATGTTCAATACTTATTTTACCCACTGTATATAGCCAGCAAAACAGAGCAATACTGATGACAACAGGAGCAAATTTGCATCCATATGGTAACAGTAGGAAAAATTAAGAGTATATTATGATTGGCTGCTATGGCAAAAACTCTATTTACTCGTTATAGTTTTCTTACATGGCACATGAGGAGCACTAAATTGAGCTCTAACACTCCACAAAGTGCAGGCAGTACCAATACACTGGAGGCATACTGTCCAAAGACTACATGCATCCTACTTTGTAGGGAATGTGCAGTACATGGTCACAGGAATAAAGGACAGGTACTCACATCCTGATCATGGCGCTTCCGGACCTCTGGATGAGTTTGCTCTATCAAACAGTCCACAAAGCAGGTCTGAAAAAAGGGGTAGACATACATAAGTTACTGTGAATTAAAAAAAAAAAAAAAAAAAAAGACTAAAGAAAAAAATATATATATACACATCCTGCGACAAAGTTAATTGTCAATTTTATTTACTCTGCATAAAGCTGAACTCCAGTCAAATAGCAAATACACATATAAAATACACATCATTTAATTTAAAGGCTGCATCCAGAAAGTATCCACAGAGCTTAACTTTTGCCACATTTTGTTATGTTACAGCCTTATTCCAAAATGGATTAAATTCATTTTTTCCCCTCAGCATTCTACAAACAATACCCCATAATGACAACGTGAAAGAAGTTAGTTTTGAAATCTTTGCAATTTATTAAAAATAAAAAAATTAAAAACACATGTATTCCCAGCCTTTGCTCACTACTTTGTTGAAGCCCCTTTAGCACCAATTACAGCCTCAAGTAGTTTTGAGTATGATGCTACAAGCTTGGCACACCTATTTTTGGGCAATTTCTCCCATTCTTCTTTGCAGTACCTCTCAAGCTCCATCAGGTTGGATGGAGAGCATCGGTGCACAGCCATTTTCAGATCTCTCCAGAGATGTTCAATCAGGTTCAAGTCTGGGCTCTGGCTGGGCCACTGCAGGACATTGACAGAGTTGGCCCGTAGCCACTCCCTTATGTGGGCTGTGGGCCGTTGTCCTGTTGAAAGATGAACCGTCGCCCCAGTCTAAAGTCCAGAGCGCTCTGGAACAGGTTTTCATCAAGGATGTCTCTGCACATTGCTGCATTCATCTTTCCTTCGATTCTGACTAGTCTCCCAGTTCCTTCCACAGAAAAGCATCCCCACAGCATGATGCTGCCACCACCATGCTTCACTGTAGGGATGGTATTGGCCAGGTGGTGAGCGGTGCCTGGTTTCCTCCAGACATGATGCTTGGCATTCAGACCAAAGAGTTCAATCTTTGTTTCATCAGACCAGAGAGTTTTGTTTCTCATGGTCTGAGAGTCCCTCAGGTGCCTTTTGGCAAACTCCAGGCATGCTGCCATTTGCCTTTTACTGAGAAGTGGCTTCCGTCTGACCACTCTACCATACAGGCCTGATTGGTGGAGTGCTGCAGAGATGTTTGTTCTTCTCCTCTTTCCACAGAGAAACGCTGGAGCTCTTTCAGAGTTACCATCGGGTGCTTGGTTACCTCCCTGGCTAAGGCCCTTCTCCCTCGATCGCTCATTTTGGCTGGGTGGCTTGCTCTAGGAAGATTCCTGGTGGTTCCAAACTTCTTCCATTTACGGATGATGGAAGACACTGTGCTCATTGGGACCTTCAATGCTGCAGAAATGTTTCTGTACCCTTCCCCAGATCTGTGCCTTGATACAGTCCTGTCCTTGGACTTCATGGCTTGGTTTGTGCTCTGATATGCACTGTTAACTGTGGAACCTTATATAGACAGGTTTATACCTTTCCTAATCATGTCCAATCAACTGAATTTCCCACAGGTGGACTACAATAAAGTTGTGGAAACAGCTCAAGGATGATCAGTGGGAACAGAATGCACCAGAGCTCAATTTTGAGTGTCATGGCAAAGGCTGTGCATACTTATGCACATGTTTTTTTTTTTTCCGTTTTTAATTTTTAATAAATTGCAAAGATTTCAAAATTAACTTCTTCCATGTTGTCATTATGGGGTATTGTTTGTAGAATGTTGAGGAAAAAAATTTATTTAATCCATTTTGGAATAAGGCTGTAACATAACAAAATGTGGAAAAAGTTAAGCGCTGTGAGTACTTTTCTGGATGCACGTATGTGCCAAAGGATTTGTTTTTCTGTCCATCCAGTCCTGCGATGTACAGAGTCCAATCACATAACACAGCCCTGGCATAGGAGACCTAATTTTTCTCTGCCCTTTCCCAGCTTGTGACTGGGCATTGAAAGTGGAAGCATCAGACTGAAAGGTAATCTCTATCACTCTGATCCCTCCTAATAGCATGTTTTATGTCAACACTTTGAATGCAACACCCGATTGCCTTACAATCCTTCACTTCTCTCCAAGACTTAGCTCTGCTGTAGAAAAGACTCTGAAAGAGGCTGAAGTCATATTCAGGTATGCATGCTGCTTGCATTTAAATATATTTAAGAACTGAATTCTTTTGTGTTCCTGTGTCTAGAGTTCAGCTTTATATCTGGATTTTTTAGCAACACTAAAAACTATTTAAAAAGTGAAATAAAGGTATTTAAAATAAAAACAACAATATCACTTTACCTATGCAACTGAAGTAAGCCAACTCCTGTTTGCTTGCTACAGCTTACTATACTTTATACATCTTCAATGTCATAATTGATTAAGCAAGTACATCTGAAATTACAATTATTCCATCATCTACCTTTCCATGGTGGAGGTGACCACACAGAGTGACATTCCTGATAAGCTCAGAGTTATCCATTAAATCAGCAAGAAACCTAAAAAATGGAATATAAAAAGAAATATGATGAGATGCAAGCTGGGCATTGTGGCATTGAAGGAAGAAGCTGTGGGAATAGACACTTACTCCATGGAATACACAGTGGCTGGAAGCCCTTGCTCCATCATTGAGAACTTCTTTGTCTTCACTGGTTTGATAATGGGCTCTACAACAAACAAAAAGAAAAGTTAACAGTGGATTATACAAAAAGACTACATGGACTTCAACAGGTGTATTAATAGCTGATCACTGGGAAAGCAGGAAAAGCAGTTTTACTTCCCTGATCTTCTGCTCCTGCTAATTCTTCTGCACTACAAGACCGGTCCCTGCTGCCTTTACTCACCTATGCTCTGGTGGTCGGCTCTAGCAAACTGGACGTGAGGACACAAAGGAACAGTCCACCACCACAGCATAGGGGAGTGCGAGGGAATGTTAAGGATTAGGTATGTAAAATTGCTAGTCAAGAGAAGATTAACTAAAGGTTAGATAGTAAAAATGCCTTTACTGAAAACCAAAAGCCTATTTTTTCTCTTTAAAAGATCTCCTGCAGTTCAACATGCAAGCAGATAACAGAATAAATCGGTGATCTGTAAGGCCTGGTTCACATTATCACAGATGGTTGTGGGTGTGGGAGACGCAACGAAAAAAGTCTTTCCTGCAGGAAAAAGGTTCCTGCGCCAACTTAAAAATGCAGCGGGCAGGAAATCTAATGGTGCTTTTGCACCATACAATGTAATTTCCATGCAGTTCCAGCAACCATGCTGCGTTTTTAGATGCATGGGGTGCTATTAAGAAAAAATGGCAGCCCCGTGTGTTTTTAGACAGCAGCACCCACGATAGTGTGAACCAGGTCTATGACTGAAAAAAACAAAACAAAATGCAACAATGTAGTTACATAGCTTCAATCCATGATCACGTAACAGTCTGTCACACTGATGATTTAGCAGAAGCTGCTGTGAACATCACAGTTCTATATTATAAGATATGGAATCTCATTAAAAGAATGTCTTGAAGGTTTAAGTAAAGTAATTTAGTACATTTACATACAGAAGGTCCACAACTAATTAATATATTATTTCACTCACCTGTCAGGGGCTGAGTATCCTCCTCTTGCACAATAGTCTCCACTTCTGGGCCATACACTTCCTCTGCTGTAGGGTAATACTTCTTGTCCTCATGGAGAACAACTTCCATCCCACCCCGATCCTCATCAGGATCTCCCATATAGTCATCGTCATCATCATCATCTGCCTGCAGAGAGACAATTACCAATTTATTGTTACAAGACAGGAGTAATGTCAGTAAGTGAACTGTTATTGCCAAACTGCATTCCTGCTAAAGAGAAAGAAAAAAGTTTAAGTGCTTCTAAAGGCTCAATGTTTTTTATCTTCATGCATTCTATGCATGAAGGTAAAAAAGCTTCTGTGTACAGCATACCCGCCAGCCCCCCTAATACTCAACTAAGCCCCCTCTCGATCCAACGATGTGCACTGGAGTCTCCGCTATCCCGGGACTCCCTCATCTCATTGGCTGAGACAGAAGCGGGAGCCATTGGCTCCCACTGCTGTCAATCACAGCCAGTGAGCCAATGAGGAGAGGGGGTGGGGCCGAGCAGAAGCTCCGTGTGTGAATGGACACACAGAGCAGCGGGTGCCCCCATAGCAAGCTGCTTGCTGTAGGGGCACCCGACAGGAGGGGAGGATCAGGGCTGCTTTGTGCAAATCCACTGCTTACAGCAGGTAAATATAGACGTTTGTTATTTTTTTCTTTAATCACTTGCCCTCCAGAGGATTTACCACCCTTCCTGACCAGGCCATTTTTTGTGAAATTAAATTTACGTCCTTTTTTTCCCACAAATTGAGCTTTCTTTCGGTGGTATTTGATTGCGATAAAAAAAAAACCTATTTTGAGAAAAAATAAAAACAATATTTTTTACTTTTTGCTATTAAACCTGTCCAATAAAAAAATTTTAAAAATCAAATTTCGTCATAAATTTAGGCTATAGTGTATTCTGCTACATGTCTTTGCTAAAAAAAATCCCAATACATGTAAATGAATTGGTTTACGTAAAATTTAAAGCATTTAAAAATGGAGGTACAGATACTGGAATTTTTTTTTTCCTTACTAGTAATGGAGGCGATCAGAGACTTATAGCAGGACTGCGGTGGGCATTCTGACACTGGGGGGAACTGACCAATACAGTGATCAGTGCTAATAAAAGGCACGGACACTGTACTAATGGCACTGGGCAGGAAGGGGTTAACATGTGGGGCGATCAAAGGGTTAACTGTGTGCTGGGTGTGTTTTACTGTGTATCACTGTAAGCATACTGCTTTGTATGGCTCATACAAAAACAGTGTGCAGGAGCTGACACGGGAGAGATCTGTGTTATTTATACACAGGTCTCGCCCCTGTCGGAGATACTCGGTGATCAACGGGTGCCGGTGAGAAATCATCGGCCGGGACCTGGTGATTGACAGCCGAGGCTGTAAATGGTGGCGCGCTTCCTACCCGGAACTGCAAAATCACATATATATATGTGCGCACCCGTGCCACCCTGTAGGAATATTTCTGCTATAGGGCAGTGTGGAAGCGGTTAAAAAGAAAAAAAAATTAAAAATGGCTTTAGAAACACACTTTAAGTTTTATCTTAATAGGAATGTTATATTATGCTTTGCAATGAAATTCAACATGCGGCACTTTTTCAAACTGAAATGGAACTAAACTCTTCTACCCTTTAAAGAGTAATTAAAACTTTTTTTTTTAGTTTTGGATAGAGTGGGGAGGGACTGAAACCCCTATTAGGTTTTTACTGAAGTCTATGCCCCTATTAGGGAGATTCACCCTCTCTATTTGTTCTGTTTACCATTATCATTGAAAGTGAAAGTAAAGAAAAACCCCAATTTTGGGTTGTCCCCGGAAAGGTAATAGAGGGGTATGTTTCCAATGGGGACACTAGTTCTGGTGACCTAGGGGTTCCTAAGGAATTCCCTTAATTTGCAGGGATTTAGTCTCACTTCCTGTTTGGCTATCAGATAGGAAGTGAAGGGAAATCTTTGCAATGGGACACAGATGGTGAAAAAAAATCTGACGGGTTATAACCCTCCCTTGCTCTATCCAAAATAACAAAAAAAAAAGGTTTTGCCTATAGTTCTAATTTAAGGATGAATTACTCAACAGAGCACAAAGCTCCCGGTCAGAGGGGGTACAATTACTGCTTGTTACAAATGTATAAATATTTGAATACATAACCTGATCACAGGTATAGTTTAGGAAGGACCTTTGATTTTTAAAATTATCTTCCACCCATTGATTAAGTGAAAGCCATAATTTTCTTATCCATTTATCTGAAAGAACATCTACTGTCAGATCTACCTTCATACAAAAAGTTGGACTCATCTCTGGTCCCCTATGGCATCCAGTTTTGCCTTAACGTTTAATCCTGCAGCAGTCTTCAAACTAACCTTTCTCACCTCCTAACATGGCAATCACTTCTTAGCTGCACATTTCAAGCTACATATCCAGCCTCGCTGGTTTACATCAGAAGCATTGCCATATTGTTCAGTTCAATCTACTTTTATGGAAAAGTGTCTCACCGCATCAACATCCCTGTCATCTCTGCCCATATCGTCATCATCGTCGTCATCATCTGAGTCCAGCTCAGGACCGATGTAGTTCCCAAACTCATCATAAGGGTCCGTGTCCATGTCTGCAGATCCTGGACATAAATAGAACAAGTAAATGATATAACACATCATCATTAGTAATATAACTATACCCTAATCTGACAAGACAGAGCAGCAAATCAGCGACCACAGAGTTACAGCTAGAAGCAGGTCAGACGTACAACTAACAAAAAGTGTAATTTAAAGTGCAAGTCTAGGCAAAATTAAAAATAAAACAACCCCCCCCCCCCCAAAAAAAAACACAATTTAGTACATCTCTGGACTACATGCGTATTTCACTGTGTTTTATGCCTCTAAATGCCTTGCTAGTACAGAAAAGTAACTGTTGATGTGTTAGAAACGAAGAATGCTCCTACCTTTCTCTTTGACACAACACATCTCTAAATTCTTAAGCCTGAGGTGTCAAGCCCTACCTACTTCCACTCTGATGGATTACAAAGGACACAGACCTTTCCTCATGCCCCCCCCCCCCCCCTTCTTGTGCCTAGGAAGTTATCAGTTTACAGGATTGCTTACAAAATGCAGTTATTTCTTCAAATAGATATAACAAAACACTTTCCATTGCATATTTAGCAAACCAAAATAGGAGACGTTCATTGTTTAGTTTGCATACATTTTAAAGAGTAATTCCAGGCATTGACATGTGTAATGCCTGCCATAGAGGGGTCGAAAATCATCCGATTTTTCAGCCGAAAAAAAAAATCGTCCGATTTTCGCACTGTTAGTGGATTAATTGGTTGGACGTTTTTTGCACAGTTTTTTATCGGTCATGTTGGAAAATTCACGGCCGATTGGACGATCGGCTGATTTTCCCCGGCAATGATGGGCAAATCGGCCGATCGTTTTACCGATAAAAAATCTGCACATTAGCTGTGACCTGCAAGGTTGCCAGCATTCTTTTTACTGAATCCCATATATATATATATATATATATATATATATATATATATATATATATATACACACACACACACACATAATTTTTATTTTCCCCTTGAATCTTTCCTACGAACTGGAAGTCCGGTCCTAGCTATTATATTATGGAAAAAGTCTTGCGGTTGCAACAAATGTATCCATTTTTATCCAAATAAAAAACATAATGTTTTTTATTTGGATACAAACGGATACTTTTGTTGAAACCGCAAGACTTTTTCATATAAAATATAATAGCTAGGACAGCAATGGGCAAACTACGGCCCGCGGGCCGTATACGGCCCGGCGGACCTTTTAATCCGGCCCGCGGAGCTAGGCTCCCGCAAGGCCAGTGGTCGGCAAGCCGCGGCTCTTTACAAATTTAGATGCGGCTCTCCTGTGTGCCGGGCGCCCGCTCCCCTCCCTCCTCTCCCCTCCTCTCGGATGGCCGCCCCCCCTCTCGGATGGCCGCCCCCCTCCCTCCTCTCGGACGTCAGGACTCTGCAGCTGTCAGGATGTAGGCGGGGCAGCCAGGATGTAGGCGGGGCAGCGTGACGAACTCCTCTCACAGTCCTCCCTGAAGACCAGAACGGCGCGGGAATACGAGAGGAACGCGCGGACCAAAGGTAAGTGAATTGACACAGGGGGGGGACTTACTATATGGGGGACTTACTATATGGGGGATGAATTACTATAGGGGGGACTTACTATATGGGGAATGAATTACTATATGGGGGACTTACTATATGGGGAATTAATTACTATATGGAGGACTTACTATATGGGGAATGAATTACTATATGGGGGACTTACTATATGGGGAATGAATTACTATATGGAGGACTTACTATATGGGGAATGAATTACTATATGGAGGACTTACTATATGGGGGATGAATTACTATATGGGGGATGAATTAATATGGGGGATGAATTAATATGGGGGATGAATTACTATGTGGGGGATGAATTACTATGTGGGGGATGAATTACTATGTGGGGGATGAATTACTATGGGGGATGAATTACTATATGGGGATGAATTACTATGGGGGATGAATTACTATAGGGGGGATGAATTACTATGGGGGACGAATTACTATATGGGGGACGAATTACTATATGGGGACGAATTACTATATGGGGGATGAATTACTATGGGGGATGAATTACTATATGGGGGATGAATTACTATATGGGGGATGAATTACTATATGGGGGATTAATTACTATGGGGGATTAATTACTATGCTTACTATGGGGGAATATTACTATACTTACTATGGATGACACATACACATCATTCATCTACTCTTGGTCCGGCCCCCGGGTCCAATATATGAACCCATTGCGGCCCTCAAGTCAAAAAGTTTGCCCACCCCTGAGCTAGGAGCTAGGACTGGACTTCCAGTTCGTAGGAAGGATTCAGGAGGAAAATAAAAATGATATATACGATCCCTGTACGTATTGCTGTCACATTGATGGCAGCATCCATGGCAGCAACGACTGTTTTTTTTGTTTATCGTCCGACAATTCGACTGATAAACGACCCGTCTATGGCCTGCATAACTATGTGTACTGTATTCTATACCTGGCCACTGCAAATCACTGAAGTAGACACCATTACTTCCGTGATCTCCACTAGCTTGCCGGGTCCTGTACCAAGTGTCGACCTCCTATATTTACAATGCAGGAGAGCAAGCAGCTCAGCACAGACACCATTCAAAGAATATTTAGCAGTTTCTCAATGAATGTGCAGCATTCGCTGCTTAGAGGAGGCACAGAGCATCATGTAATTACCCACCTCGTCTAATCAGAAAACACTTTGCATTCAATCATAAAATGCAAAGTATTTTCTGAATGGCGCCCATGTCGAATGACCGACCTCCTGTGTTCACAATACAAGAGAGCAGTCATTTGGTGCAGGACTCAGAAGCAAGTGGAGATCACTGATATAGCAGTGTCTACTTTAGTGATTTCCAGCTTCCAGTGGCTTTGGCCAGGTATGGTATATATATATAGTTACACTGGTCCAAACTGGACCAATATAATTATGTACAACATGGTGATACCTGGACTTATTCTTTAAAGTGGTAGTAAACCGCAACCTTGTTAAAGAAAAACAATCTGCAAGACAATGCATGGCATATTAGCACAATATGTGAAACTTACCTTAAAATGAAGCTCTCCAGCGGCGCGCTGTCACCACTGACAGGGTTTCCATCTTCACCCTGTCCTTCTCTTGGCGGCTGGAATGACCAAGCCGCAATAACGTCACAGCCACGTATGCGTGTGGGAGTCACTTATTGCGGCACACAGCCCTGAAGGAACAGCACAGTCATGCCATTCCTTCAGAGGACATGCGCCGGTGCTCTACACAGGTAAATATCTCCTAAATGGTGCAGATTTAGGAAATATTTACAGTACCTACAAGTAAGTCTTATTATAGGCTTGCCTGTAGGTACAGGAGAAAAACTGACTTTCCTACCACTTTAAATTCAAACTCCAAAAAGAGAAAATTAAAAACAAAAAACATTTTCCATTTCACATATATAGAATGAGAAAGGGTTAGGACTTGCGTGTTTGGGATAGGACTTGCGTGTTTTGCGTGTTTGGGATAGGACTTGCGTGTTTGGGATAGGACTTGCGTGTTTGGGTTAGGACTTGCGTGTTTGGGTTAGGACTTGCGTGTTTGGGTTAGGACTTGCGTGTTTGGGTTAGGACTTGCGTGTTTGGGTTAGGACTTGCGTGTTTGGGTTAGGACTTGCGTGTTTGGGTTAGGACTTGCGTGTTTGGGTTAGGACTTGCGTGTTTGGGTTAGGACTTGCGTGTTTGGGTTAGGACTTGCGTGTTTGGGTTAGGACTTGCGTGTTTGGGTTAGGACTTGCGTGTTTTACTAATGTATGTAGGCTGTGACTCCATTGCAGAAATCTCACAGATTTTCCTGTCCTTCTAAGACAAGGATGTGAAATGAGGGGAAATCTCTCAAGTGATCCAAGGACACCAGTATAAATCTGACAGATGTTCTAATATCCTCAGTAACAAGGAGCATGATTTCCTCATTGCTGAGTTCTAACTCTGCTACAGCAATGGGGATATTTAACCTCTGCAGAGAGACCACTGCTTCTGCACAGAGGGCAAGAGTCCTTCTCTGCAGCATGCTGGAAATGAACAGGCTTTGGCTGCTTTTCAAAGAAGACCAACTGTAACATTTTGCATGCCTTTTATTACATGAACCTGGAATATACTTAGCTAATTTAAACTGAAAGTTCAGTTGAGCTTTAAACCTACAAGTGCTTTCCTTTATCCTTTACACTGTATTTTCAAAACAAGAAAACAGTAACATAGACCGGTTGGATGAAAAACATACAGATTAATTTAGTGTATGCAGTTTAACAGTTGTGGTAGTTAAAATGGAACTAAACCCACTGATTAAACAGATTAAAAAAGAATGTTACATTCCCAGCATGCCTAGAATGCTAACTGTCACATTTGCCTGCTTAACCAAACTGTCAACCATCAAATGGTTGGTGTCATAACTGATCGCATGTGTAGCACCATGGCAGTTGCAGATCAAACAGAAGCTAAAATGGAAACTTCCTTGGATGAAAAGGAGAGGAGGGTTTAGTTCCGCTTTAAAGGCCAGCTGAACTTTCAGTTTTCAGCGCATTCAAACCTGTTCAGTTGAGCTATGATTTGATAAGGAAGCCAGGAGATTTGAAACGCATCATCCTATTGGTGAGAGTGCGACCCCAGGTCCACGCCTCTTCTGACAAAGCAGCTGCATCATCACTTCCGGTTTGCTGCTCTGCCGAGGATATCACTTCTGGGTTTGTGTATACACGGGAGTAGCCATCTTTTTGGTGGTTTTCCCCTGGTTGCTGTATAAAGTTTGGTGTGAACTGTAAGCACAAACGCATCCGAGGTGCGTATAAGTGGTGTGATCCGATCCTTAAAGTGAAAATTAAAGTGGTTCTTCACCTTCTGCCATCCCCCACCCCCCATTTCTTTTTACACTCCTTACTGGGTTGTGTGTTCTGAGCACTGCAACAAAATGCATCGAAAACGCACCGGAACGGAGTGTGGTGTGAATTTTAAGCAAAAATGCATCCGGGGCCCTCCAGCTGTTGCCAAACTACAAGTCCCATGAGGCATTGCAAGATTGACAGTTACAAACATGGCTCCCAAAGGCAGAGGCATGATGGGATTTGTAGTTTTGCAACAGCTGGAGGGCACGCCTGGTTTCGAGGATGAAGATCGGCTTTGAAGTTGGAAGTTGACTGATTGCCATGCACAGCTGTTCCACATTCCGGTCACTCCTCCCCCCCATAGCGCCATGACCTGCGGTTCTCCACACTGGATACATGTTGCCGCCAAGACACGTAGAAAACAAATGCAGCTGAAAATGGAGTGATGAAGAAGCGTGAATGAGTCCCTATCATACTTTTTGTGCAACGTCATGCTTTTTTTATGGTGACAGGGTCTCTTTAACCACCTCCCACCCGCCATATAGTACAACGGGTGTAAGGCAGTTCTCTCGTTCTGGGAGGACATCATATGACGTCCTCCCATTCTAACCACGTGCAGCGCAGCAGTGCGCTGTGTCTCTCGGACACAGTGGATCACAGATCAACAGAAAGAGCCGAAGATGTCGGCTCGGTCATGTGATCAGTTGTGTCCAATCACAGCTGATCACATGTGAACAGGGAAATGCCGGTTATCGGCATTTCTCTCCTCACGAGCCGTCATGCTGACAGAGGAGAGATGGTAATCGGCATTCCTCGGAGAGGACATCTACACTGATCATCCGGGCACTGATGATCAGTGCCGGTCATCCCGCCTAACAGTGCCATATATGAGTGCTGCCTTTCAGTGCCCATCAGTGCCATATATCAGTGCTGCCTTTCAGTGATGCCTGTCAATGCACATCAGTGCCACCTATCAGTGCCCATCAGTGCAGCCTATCAGTGCAGCCTCATTAGCGCACATCAGTGAAGGAGAAAAATCACTTATTTACAAAATTTTATAACAAAAACTAAGAAAAAAGGTTTTTGTTTTTTTTTTTTTAATTTTCAGTGTTTTTTTGGTTTAAGACAAAATAAAAAACCCAGAGGTGATTAAATACCACCAAAATAAAGCTGTCACAAAAAAATGATAAAAATGTCATATGGGTACAGTGTTTGCATGACCGCGTAATTGTCAAAGTGTGATAGCACTGAAAGCTGGAAATTGGCCTGGGCAGGAAGGGGGTATAAGTGCCCGGTAGGCAAGGGGTTAAATACATAGAGCTCCATACAACAGACCAGAAAAGAGGGACGAGCGGGAAGGACGGAGGGACCTGGGTTCCTCACCCCCCCCCCCCCCCCCCCCCCCCCCCCCACCCCCCCCCCCCCCCCCCCCCGGTGAGCAGGTAAGTGCCATGTGTGGTCAATGCAGGATGGCAGGTCACTGACACCAGCGGTCTGTGCTCCCGGCCCCTGGTCATGTGTGAATAGTTCATAATAATAAGAAGTTTCTTTGTTTAACCCTTTTGCTACCAAAGTCGTTTTTTTTCTATTTACGTGTGTGAAAAGACCATAGAAACACAGTCCTGGTGCGTTTTGGATGCGTTCCAGTACATTTTTCCCCCCCCTTTTTTTTTCACCACTTGCCCTCCAGTGGATTTCCCCCCCTTCCTGACCAGGCCATTTTTCATGTTACGGCGCTGCGTTACTTTAACTGACAATTGCGCGGTCATGCAACGCTGCACCCAAATTTAAATTTACGTCCTTTTTTCCCACGAATTGAGCTTTCCTTCGGTGGTATTTGATCGCCTGTGCGTTATTAAAAAAAAAAAAGACAATTATTGAGAAAAAAACAATATTTTTGACTTTTTCTATTAAACATGTCCAGTAAAAAAATTTTTCATCATAAATTGACACCAAAATGTATTCTGCAACGTGTTTGCTAAAAAAATACCAATACGTGTAAATTAATTTGGTTTGCGTGAAAGTTATAGCGTTTACAAATGGCGGTATACATACTGGGATTTTTTTTTAATTATATTTTTACTAGTAATGGCGGCAATCAGCGACTTATAATGGGACAGTGGCAGACATTCTGACACTGGGGGGAACTAACTTGGTGTCACTGACCTCCACAGTGACACCAATACAGTGATCAGTGCTAAAAAAAAAAGCGCTGACACTGTGCTAATGGCACTGGGCAGGAAGGGGTTAACAGGAGGGGCAATCAAAGGGTTAACTGTGTGCTGGGAGTGTTTTACTGGGGGGCGGAGGTGTGTGTGTTCACTGTAATCACACTGCTCTGGATGGCTGTGCTGTGCACAGCCATTCAGAGCAGTGTGCCGGAGCTGACAGGGAGGAGGACTGTTAGTAAACAAAACGGTCCTCCTCCTTTTACATTTCTTAGGGGGAGGGATTGGTAAGCTGTTGACGTATACGTTCCAATAACCTCCATATTCTCAGTTCTTTACCATGAATAGCCCAGAGGTCTTGACTTTCGGGAGCTGGAGAGAGAGCTGGCTAATGCTGTGGCTGCAGATGAGAAGTACCGGAGGGAGAATGATGCCAAGTTCCGTGCCATTCATCAGAAAGTGGCATCCTATGAGGAGTTCAGGTATTTGCAAGGAGCAACCAATCAGATTCCAGCAGAATATTACAGAATAAAGAAGCTGATTAGTTGCTCTAGTCACAGCTGCTGAGACTGAATCCGTCACATTTACTATAAGCAGTAGGATTTTTCCCAGGATGCTTGCAAGCCAAGGCAGTATAGAAAACCTTTCCTGTACAAATCTGAATTTATAGAATGACAGGTTCTCCTCCGAGCTATTATATGTACAGTAACTATTGAATTGGAAACAGTCTATAAGAAAGGATACAGACATGTTTGGAAATGAGAAGCCCAATCATTTAGGGAAGATATGAATAACTTGAAGGAGGGAAAGACCCCTTCTCTAGTAACAAAGATAGACCTGAATGACTGGAAGGAAGACCAACCCCTTCTCCTCTAGTAACAAAGATAGACCTGAATGACTGGAAGGACCGACCCCTTCTCCTCTAGTATCAAAGATAAATCTGAATGACTGGAAGGAAGGACCGACCCCTTCTCTAGTAGCAAAGATAGACCTGAATGACTGGAAGGAAGGACTGACCCCTTCTCCTCTAGTAACAAAGATAGATACGAATGACTCGAAGGAAGGACCGACCCCTTCTCCTCTAGTAGCAAAGATAGACCTGAATGACTGGAAGGAAGGACCGACCCCTTCTCTAGTAGCAAAGATAGACCTGAATGACTGGAAGGAAGGACCGACCCCTTCTCTAGTAGCAAAGATAGACCTGAATGACTGGAAGGAAGGACCGACCCCTTCTCTAGTAGCAAAGATAGACCTGAATGACTGGAAGGAAGGACCGACCCCTTCTCTAGTAGCAAAGATAGACCTGAATGACTGGAAGGAAGGACCGACCCCTTCTCTAGTAGCAAAGATAGACCTGAATGACTGGAAGGAAGGACCGACCCCTTCTCCTCTAGTAACAAAGATAATACGAATGACTGAAGGAAGGACCGACCCCTTCTCCTCTAGTATCAAAGATAGACCCGAATGACTGGAAGGAGCCGACCCCTTCTCTAGTATCAAAGATAGACACGAATGACTGGAAGGAGACCACCCTTCTCCTCTAGTATCAAAGATAGACCCGAATGACTGGAAGGAAGGACCGACCCTTTCTCCTCTAGTAACAAAGATAAATGAATGACTCGAAGGAAGGACCGACCCCTTCTCTAGTAGCAAAGATAGACCTGAATGACTCGAAGGAAGGACGACCCCTTCTCCTCTAGTACCAAAGATAGACCTGAATGACTCGAGGTAAGGGCAGACCCCTTCTCTTCTACTAGAAAGATACACCTGAATGACTTGAAGGAGGACTGACCCCTTCTCTTCTACTAAGAAATATAGACTTGAATGACTTGAAGGAAAGACAAACCCCCTACCCCCACACACATTACTAAAGCTGACATGCTTTACCCAGCATGCTTTCTGAGAGTATTCCCATGTCTGCAGCCTACAATAAATATTTTTTGGCAACATAAGATTCTATATAAATTATTAAACAATAAACCGTCTAGTTTCTTTGCAGCTGGCCATAGACCTAAACCACTACTGGCTGACCAGTCTCTAGGGAGAACAATACAGAATCCATGTGGTGCCTCCTCCCCATCTCATATCCTCTCACCCTAGTGTAAACCTGTGCTGTTTGTACCTCAGACAATCCATCTACCTTAAAGTTATTTTTATTTAAACCGTTCAAGGTTTTTACAATGTATGAATCAGAATTTACCTATTCCAAAAACTATCACATGAATAATAGTGAAGCACCTAAAAAAAACAATATCATACAACACTATTTATCACAAAGCCACCCAATATGTGCACAACCTTCTCTTAAGGCTTTATATCACAAAAAACATATGTGAATAACATAATTGAAAATGAAAGTGATTAATAAAGAAGAACGTCCACAAGTGTCAAGAGTGTCCACTGGTGTAAAATGACTTCCACCTTCTAAGGATCCACACCACTGCCGCATTCACCCGCTCCAATGCTGCGAAGACAGAGTAGCAAACGGCGCATTAATGTCAAGGAACTTCCAGCCCCTCCTACATGGTTATCCAGCTTCACCAACATACTGAAGTTGCCTGGTAGTACCGACTCTCATCACTGGACACTGTCACATCACCTATTCAAATGCTGTATGGAAGAGAAGTGCTCACCACATGGAGCCACACAGCTGTACCGTATATAGTGTAGTTTGTTTATTAAAAAAAGTTAAAACTGCACATAAAAAGCATCTAAATGCCAAAAAAGTAGCAAAAATCAGATCAAATTCAAAGTGCACTTCCTAAGATGGCCACCAGTTCTGAACCCAGAAGTGGCGGCGTGACGTCAATGTGTCACGCCACCACTTCCAGGTTTGGAACTGGTGGCCAACTTAGTAAGTGCATTTTGGATTTCACTTCATCTGCTAAAGCATTGTGTATTATAAACCGTTGCATTTTTACATGAAATACTGTTTTTTTTTTTTTTTTTTTTTTTTTTTTGTTTTTTTTTTTTTTCTCTTCCATACTTTTTTTTTTTTTTTTTTTACTCTTAATGTTGCTGATCCCCTCCAGCCTCCTCAACCACTTCCCCCCTACATTTAATTGCTCCAGTGTCAGCCTGCCTGGAGCACAACTAGGATAAAAGCTGTCACCTCATAACAGGAAGTGCTTGAACAAGGACCTTCCTGGCAGGATCACCGAATATCATATTAAAGAAAGCTGCCTATTTAAAAAAATTTCCAATTTTTTAATTTATACTAACATTATTTTAGATTTTATCAATTGCGTGTAGTTTGACTTTTAAAGTGTAATTCAAATCTAGAACTAACTAAGCCTAAGTATAGGTTCACACCTATGCAGGTCGCGTTTGATGCATTTCTGCATTGCGTTTTGCGTTGCATTTTTGCCGAATTTATGATGCCTTTTTTTTTTCCTAATTCTTCTTGTTGCTAGGCAGATTTTAAACACAAATCGCAGCAAAAACGCAATACATGCTTTTCTGCAGCGTTCCCATTTGAAGTCTATAGAACCAACAACACAACGCTTTGCATTCCAAAAAATACCCGACCCTTTCCAAAAACCGTATGGGGTGAAAACGCAGAGATGTGAACGTGTCCCATAGGAAATCACGTTCTATGGACTGTACTGCGTTTCTGCAAAATGCTGCAGAAACCGCATAGGTGTGAACCTGGGGTAAAACGGCTCCCACCCTCCTTCTAACACCTCTACTAACTACCCTGTAGAAGGAAGATTCTTATACTTGCCTATTCTCAGCGCACTCCGGTCTGGTCATGTGAATGACTCCCTGCTCCAGCTTTGGAGGAGAGGAGGGACAACCAACTGTTGCCCTATAGTAAGTTTATGAGTGACGCCACCACCAAGGTATTCCATACGTTGTCAGCAGTCTTTCCTCTTCCCTGAAGCCGGCTGCTGGGGGATCACATGACCCGAGCAATCTGAGAATAGTATGTATAAGCATCTTCCTTTTACAGGGTAGTTAGTAAAGGTGTTAGAAGTGGGTTGGAAGCAGTTTTACGCATAGCTGGTTTTAGACTTGATTTTCACTTTATGAGAAACCTCAATATCCCCCTCCCCACCTTCTGGGGTTAATTTAGCTTTTAACCCCCCTATATACTTTTTTGCTGGGTTATGCTCAAATAACACATTCATACTCAGTGAATCCAATGTTGTCCTACTGTGATCCCCACTGCACCATGGTTCCTGCATTGCCATTTTATTTCTTTGTCATAGGGGGCCAACTGTTTTTGCAGCCACGCCTCTGTTGTGCGACCAGGTCCATCCTTCTCCAGCTGCTGTATGCTCTATGCCACGGGTGTCAAACTGGCGGCCCTCCAGCTGTTGCCATATTACAAGTCCCATGAGGCATTGCAAGATTGACCGTTACAAGCGTGACTCCCAAAAGGCAGAGGCTAAATGGGACTTGTAGTTTCACAACAGCTGGAGGGCTGCCAGTTTGACACCCCTGCTCTATGCAGATGCCTCCTAGGATATCTGATGTGGATACCTCAAGAGGCTGATAGAGTGGAATACACATCATTCATGAGTAGGTGAGAATGAAGGCGGGGGGACAGGCCAAAGCAAGAAATAAAAAAGTCAGCCTTGATTTAGGGGGGAGTTTTTGCAGAGATGTGAAATAATTTTTGGAAGTGAAGGTACACTTTAAGTTACAATATAAGTTTTACTCTTCATAGAATTTCCTTGCATCTATTTACTTATATGCTTTCAATAATCCATTTTGTATACCTTTTTTTTATTATTGTTTTTTTTTTTATTTTCAATTATATAATTTTTTTTTTTTTTTTTATGTAACAGGAATTTGGATGATGTTTCAGTAAAGTATTATATTGCCTTTGTCAGTATTGACTTTTCCTTTGAACAATCTATTCCATGTTCACTTGTCCTCTGCAGAGATATTGTACTCGCATCTAACCTGAAACCCTTGGAGCGGAAGGACAAGATTGGAGGAGATAGGAAGCAGCCATGGAATCCAACTGCCACAACAAGCGGCTCATCCAGAGAGGCAGTTTGTACCGTATTACAGGTGAGGCGGAAGAAGAAATTGATTGCATCTGCTTGTCTGGGCCGCTCGCCTTTTTCCTCCATGACATTATTGCAGACTCCATCCTCTCCATCCTCTCTTTTAATCCAGATATGTCCATCTGATT